TCTTCAGTAACAGAGGGGCACTAGCCTTTTAGTCTACAAGTGGAGGGGAGCTTCTCGTCCTTCCTATAGGTCTGGCTGCACAGCAGCAGGCGTTATACGTGGTCACCCCCAGGGACAACTGCAAGGAGAGCAGCAGAGCCGGGACGATCCCCAAGTGTGTTCCGAGGGACCAGTTGCCCACGACGTGGAGTGGGACACTGCTCAGGGGCTGGTGGTCCCAGTGAGCTCCGAAGCTTGAGTTCATAGCCCTACCCCAGCTGTGTCACCCCGGGGGAGGTCATCTTGATAAGTATCTGTTTCTCCATCTCAACACTGGGGGACTAACATAACCTTTCTAGAGCTCCCTTGAGAACTAAGATTTATGCGTCAAGCACTCAGCACAGAGTCTGGCAAGTAGTAAGTGTTCGGCAAGTGTTGCAGCAAACATCTTTCGAATCACTGGTACCCTGCCTGCTCATTCCCCTTGAGTTAGGTCACCAAACCCAGAGTCACATCCATGCCAAACGCAGTCCTCTACTCCAGAGGGTGTGGCAAGATGTCCTTACTGTGAGAAGAGATATCACGCTACTGTGGCCTGATTTCTACACACCACGCTGCTTGGGCACAGAGCAGCAGACACTGTAGAATAATTCAGGACACGTCCTCTTCCATCCATTTGTTCTTTACTTGCCTTTGTAGACAGCATGCTCGTTGTTGATGTACCATCCTGATGCACGCAGGGATTTTCTTTTTTCTTTTTGAGGTTGAGGATTTATTGAAAGAAATTCGATCTATGTGTTTCTTCTCCCACCCTCCCAATGGATTTCAGTTTTCAGATTTACTTCCTAATATTCTGGCACAATTTACACTGTTTGGCAAAATAGCTAATAAAGCTTATAGGGAAGCAACTTGCTGTGGTGAAATAACACATTTTTACCTCTGTTTATGATTTTAAGGATACTATTTTTGGTTACCGTCATTGGAGGGTTTTAATTTTACTCTGTCTGATACATTGAGTGCTGTGTCTTAGGCACAAAGAATAGTGTGTTCGGATTTGCACGTGACCAGGAAGTTGTGGCTAGGTAGGTGTGTAGCTAGCTGCTCCCCCTGTGTACGCCCCCTCTTCCCTGGCCCCAGATGGGCATCAAGGAGTTTTGGAGCTTGCGTTAAGAGTTCACCACCATTGCCTTTCATGGTAAGCTGGTATCATCCCCAAGTAGCAAGACTTTAGATCTAGAATTGTATGACCTGTCAAGCCCTAATGATGATAATGTAATATAATCATATGGTGGTATTTTCTAACCTCTTTTGAGAATGCGGACCTCCTGCTTGGACATGCCCCACTTTACCGTGGCAAACAGGACAGATCTGCTTTTAGTCCCTCTGTCCCAAGGAAAGATGGAGAGGTAGAGAGGACATAGAAAAGAAAGTGCAGTGGGAGGTGACAGAGTTCGGTTTTCTCCCTCTTCCAGTAAACCCGAAAATGGTTGAAATGCCGGAAAGTAGACTGCTAATTCACATGAAGTTTCTCTTTCTGGCTTCATATTACTAGAAAGGTGCATTTATGCGGTGGCTAAGCAGGGTTAGGCATGTAAGCTGTGATTGTGGAGTAGTTTCTCTGAATTTGTGTCCAAGTAAGTGCTCTGTTTCCCATGCTTTCGTTTTGGTTAGTTCTTACAGGGCAAAATTCATGCTTGCTTCTGGGATCACGTGTAGTCCGTTTGTTGGGATGGTGGCAGACAGAGCTGAGTTCTAGGCCCAACTAAGAGGGTAGTATTTTGTCCTTTCTTACATCTCTGTAACTTGTATTTTCCATGGTGTTTCAGCCAGAATCTTGACCTGCTAAATCTTAGTATTACTTAAGGGAAAACACTCCAGAGGATACTATTACTGGATGTAATATTAAAGGATACTAGCTTTGAATCGGTTGCTCATTGGCATACAGGTTCATGTGCAAGAGTGATTATAGGTTACTCCAGTATCTTTGTGAACACAAGAAGGGAGATGTGGGAATGCTGTTTCCACTCACCTGTGTATCAGTGCGCTATGGGACTTGTGGAGTTGAGGAGTAATATCAAGCATAGGCTTGGCCGGTTGGAAGGCTTGGCATCTAGTGTGGGAGAAATTACAATCACAGTATAAATAGGTAGCAGAGAAGAGTTAAGACTTTTGATTGCATAAGTTCGAAAGAAGGTAAGGGTCAGACTAGGATGAGGGATAGGAACTGGAACTTGGGACAGAAAGACAGAAAAGAGAGGGAAGGTATTTTTGAAGCAGTGACTGGACAGATGTCTTAAGGATGCGCTGGCTCCCATGTTCAAGGAGGGTCCTATGGGAAGATTAGCCTGGGATAAAGTGGTAAGTAATGGTAATCCTTTGAGAAAAGGCTTTCACTGCCTATGAGACGAGTCAAATCCCAGGCGAAGACAGGCTTCTCCAGGAGCTGTTACAGCTACCTGCCAGGACAAGCAGGGTGATAGGGTGGAAAGACCACCTGAATTAAATGTCAGGAGGCTTGGCTTCTGGTTGGGTTCTGGCGCTGAATCTGTGGCAGGAAGCACATCTTTAACCTCCCCAAGACTCTGTTTTCTTTACTATAAAATGAGGTTTTGAACCAGTCAGTCTTTAAGTGCCTTACATCTTTGTATTTCTTTTACTCTTTGTCTTTTCAGCAAACATATGCATGTAGATCTAGTCCTTGTTAGTGGCATTATTTTGAAAGCATAGGACAGAAACAAATAATGTGCTTTAATGGAAAGTAACTTTTAGATAATTGGGGGATCTATTGTTTGAGTATCATTTTGGAAGTGTGATAAAAGGAAGAAACCTGATTGTATAGAACTTGCTAAAATTTGAGCTGTACCCTTTTTCTGGTGCAGTGTGTTGATTTTTTTTTTTATTGCACTGTGATGGGAATTTTAAAGTCAGAGAATAATCAAAGAGTTGTAGGCACTCCTGATTTCTTCACACAGTACTTACCTATCTCTGTGTAACTTGTTGTGCTTCTCACTACCTACCAGAACATGAGCTACTCTAATTACTTGGAAAGTCCTGAACCTCAAAGTTAGGACGACTGCGGTCTCCGTTATTGGAGAGGGAACTCAGGGCGATGTTGCCTTCAGCTCACAGCTGATTCACTATCAGGAATGCTGGGTGTGTGCGGGCTGAACAGAGGCTATATTCTATAGAAATTATAGGCCCAGGGAGAAATGAACTACAATTAACCTTTACCTTATTAGTTTTATGTTTAGGGGATAAATTTTCTCCCTTATTTATATATAGAAGTGTACACATTAAGAACAGCAAGCTGGATAACTTAATTCCTTAGGAAAATAGAGTTTTAGTAAGACAAGGAATTTTTCCAGTATTCCTCTTCTTTCAGGAGAGGGTGTGTACAGCCTCCTTAGCTTGCTCACCTTGCATAAGAAGAAGGTTCCAGATCAATCTGATTCCTATTTGCTAAATTTTAAGAAAGCTTAAATGTGTAAATGAAAGAAAGAAAGAAGACAGCCTCCATCTCCTCCCCTCTCTCCTCATCTCCCCCTGTTTAATTCAGTCTAAGAGCCACTGGGGAGGGCTAAAGTAGGAGTCTGCCTGACATAAAACTTAGAAGCCATAAGAGAATAGATCAATAATTTACCTGCATAACATTAAAAAATTTCTGCATGGAGCACATTAAGCTATCACATGGAATGGGAAAATCTGTTATAACTCTTATGTTCAAAAGGCCAATTTTCTTTGTATGTAAAGAATACATACAAATAAATAGGAAAAAGAGTAGCAACCCAACAGGAAATCTGCAAAGGAAAGGAACAGGCTAGCATTCCTCTTCTCATTAACAAGAAGGCTTCGGTATACTGAGATACAGTTTCTCATCTGTTACATTGACAAAGGTCCAGAGTTAAAGCATCTTTTGAAAAGTCTGTGGGGAAGCAAGCACTTTCAAAACTTGCTGATCAGATTATAAATGGAAACCACCTCTGTGGAGCACAATTTGGAAATATCTAGCAAATTTACTGATACATGTTACCTTTGACCTGGCAATATCACTTCTGGAAATTTATCCACTAATATATTCCCACACAAATTGACAAGAGTGTAAGGTTATTCACTGTATAGTATTTGTAGCAGCAGAAGAGTGTAGACATTTGTAGCTGTAGAAGAGTGTATGTATCATAGCTGCCCATCAATAGGGGACTAGTTAAATAAATTGTGTGTCTGTACAGTGGAATACTGTGCAACCTTTAAAAATAAATTTCATGGGGAATGAAGTCTAAGATATATGTTAAGAGAAAAAAAAGTCACTTATTTGCTTGTATGTGCACAGTGTTCCTGGAAGCACACAGCGATCACACTGGTTGTCTCTAAACTAGGACACTAGAGTACTAGAGTTGGAGACTTTGTAAAGAAGACCTTTTTAGATCTCTTGAATTCTTAACCATGGGTATTTTCCTCTTTGTAATTATTTTATAAATAGTTTTTCAATTAAAAATGAAAACATCTTTCAGTTCAAATGAAGGAAAATTTATCAAGTTTATCAAATACTTTTATAGATTCGACATCCATAAGTATCAGATAATTTTTTCTTTGTGCGTAGCTATAGATACCCTAGCGGTGTCTCTGGAATTTCCTAATTTTCTAATTTCCTAATTAGAAATTTTTAATTTTAATTTCTTTTTAAATTTTAATTTCTAATTTTAATTAGAAATTTAATTTCTAATTTCCTAATAGTGGTGAATGTTCCTGGAATGATCTCTGTGTAACAGTCTTTTAATGTCTTACTGGTTTATATGTGCTTATGTTAAAAACTTTTTGCACTGATATTCAAAACAGATTAGTTTGTGGTGGCTGTTTTCTTTACTGGTCATCTTTAATGTGTTTTGATAAGGAATATTATTGAGATTTTTAAAAAGAAATGGCAAGATTTCCTATTTGTTCCCCCTCATCCCTCAAGGCAGGTAGGCTGAGATGCAATACTTTTGATACTTTTGCATACACTGTAATTGAAGTTTTACCCACAGGAAGAAGAAGGAAATACTTGCAAAACACAAAAAACATCCTGGCTGCAAGATTGTGTTTTATCCTTATCTCCAACCAATGATCTTATGGTTATAGCTCGAGGGCAAAAAGCTGTTTTTCTAGTGCGTAAGTACTCTTACTATTTTCAGTGTACCTTATTTTAATGCATAGAGTAGGAAAGAAATGGATTAGGTAGAAGGAAAAATGTTATTTATGTTGTATGCATTGTATGGTGGCATTCTATAGTATATTTCACATACCGTATAACGCTTTTTATTTCTGTGTGTTTCTTATTTCTTTCCTTCTTTCTGTTCTGTTTGTTTCCTCTCTATTTTTCTTTCTTGACTGCAGATACTTTAACTGGCTCTGTTGGATATCAGAGGCCAAACTGGACATTGTCCAATTTTTTCAAGGGGCAGTCAGAGCTAAAAAGGCTGCTGACCCCTTTTTAGTAATAATGTGAATGAGCTGATTTTTAACTATAATTTGAAAACTCATAGGACTCTAGTTTCTTATTTGGGGCATACATTTTCAATATATAATTTGCGTAGAAGATTAAAATTAAGGTTTACATAAGATATGAAAAACCTCACTGATCAAAATGAGATCATATATTAAATGCTGTGGAATGGTCCTAAAAGATTTATCCTCCTATAGCATAAATCTAATAGAAAAGTGTTCAGTTTCATCTGAAGATGAAAGTCATTTTATAAATACAACATATGGGGAGATGGGGTGGTGTATAAGAATCAACTTTATTCTGCAAGAGCTAGGACATTAGATGAATTTAATTGGAGGAAGGAGAGACTAAAGGCAAGTAGCCTGGGTCAAGTTTAATTAAAACCTTATAAAATTTTTTTCAGTGTTTACCTATAAAAAGACCCAAACCCATTAATATAGAATAGTTACATTCTGTACTCACTCTAAAGGGAAACCATGAAATTCATAAATCACTGTTTTAGTATACTATAAGGTGATTTTATATGATAACTTTTTTCAGCAAAATGGAAATACAGCGATAAAGGAAAGGAAGAAATGCAATTTGCTGTTGGCTGGAGTGGTTCTTTAAATGTCGAAGAAGGGTGGGTACGAGTTAAGTTTTTGTTTCTCTATACGTTAAATGTGTATGTGAAATTGTTTGACTTACAAGTGAGAAGTTTTATCACTGGGATATTTAGTGAGTATCTATTCATCCCAACTTAGAGGTTGTAGAGCCTGATTAAGCCAGCAAATCTAAATTTTACTCATGTGATTACTTTTTTTTTTTTAACTCCTGTTTGCAGAGGAGATTTAAAGAAGAACTCAGACAGAATCCCATTCTTTCTGTAATTTGTCATTTCCTGTGTTCTCCATCACTAATTTTATTTAGCCAAAAAGTCAAAGGTAGCCATTGTCTTCTCTGCTTGAGTAGCACTGGCCTTGTACCTAAAGGGGACAGTGCTACATTAATTCTTAAACCTCATAAATACTTCAGAAAGGCAAGTTGGTAAATTCAGGTTTCTAAATGACCCAGTAAGGTAGTTCTTCAGTGTGATTATGTGGTGTTGCTGCTAACCTGGAACCTGGAACCCAAAACTGTTTTCACTTAAATTTTTATGACTGAAAGCTATATGGTGAGAATGAATAAGATACTTCAGACTTTGGGTTCAGATAAAAGACAACCAAATGGAAGCCCATAGCTTGCTTGGCACATCGTAGCCTCTCACTGAAAGGTTTTCTACTCTTACCAAAATAAATGATAACATTTTTTCTTAAGTCATTTGGTCTAACCATTTTGAAGACATTTAATTTCTGTGAGAAATGCAAAGCAGACATAATGGCTCAGTTACTTTAAAGACAAGAAACAAAAAGATGGATTTGTTCAGTGGTTGCCTAATAAGATGTATAGGGCAGGAGTGGTTATAGTTTCTTAAATAAGCTGGTGATGGGTCCCGCGGGTTGACAGGTTACATTAAAGTCAGTCAGTAGGAGTTATTTTAATTTTGAAGGTTAGTCTCTGAGATCCTGACAGATTTTTCGAGTCCACATGTCACAAAAAGAATCTTTTAGGGAACATCCGGCTGAGCATGTGCTTGGAAATGGGTTATCTGGGGCAAATTCTGCAAAGTATCTAGGAAGAAGCCAACTAGTTGAAATGGAGTTCGTCCCTAGAATAATGTGCTTGCAGGAATATGGTTTGCCTGTAATGTGACTGACATTCCTCCCACGCTCTGCCCAGTCGGTACTTGCTGATGCAGACGAGAGGGAACTGCAGGAAATGACTGGTGATGACTCGCTAGTTCTCAGTTCTGAGTATAATCGGTTGTGTATATGGTAAAGTTTTGCTTTCTCTTGTGCTTTTTATAACACAGAATGAAGAATCCTGTTTTTTAACCTCAAGTGAATGTGATGTTACCTTTTATGTGGATGATTTTTTTAGTTTTAGTTTTAGGGGAGAGAGCAAGCATGAACATGTGCCAGGAAGGGCAGGGGCAGAGGGGAGAGAGAGAGAATCTTAAGCAGGCTCTATGCTCAACATGGAGCCTGTTGTGGGGCTCGATCTCATGACCCTGAGATCATGACCTGAGCCAAAAATCAAGAGTCGGATGGCTAACCAGCTGAGCCACCCAGGCACCTCTTACGTGAATGATATCTATAATTCTACTTATGGTGGCATTTAACTGTATTTTCACTTATGCCTTGAATAAAACTGATCCACAGAGCTCATTCTTCCACGGGTTGCCCTTAATGTAAAATTACAGGGAAATCAAAGTAATTGATAAACTCATTAGATAAGCCTATAATTTTGTTTTTGTTTTTAGAGAACATGTAACCAGTGCTCTATGTATCCCACTAGCAAGCCAAAAGAGGTAAGGATAAATACGTTGTTTGTTTTCTTTGCTTTGGTTTATGAGCTACTAAGAGCATAAATTTTGTCTGTAACAGGAGTTCCACAGGGCGTCCTGACTGGACCTGCATCGTGGTGGGCTTTACTTCAGGTTATGTGCGCTTCTACACTGAGGTGAGTGGGGTGTTGAGCAGTTAGCAAACACCACTCGACGGGAATATCTAGTCGTGCATCCCCATTATCCTTCTTGTGACTCATTACCGGCTGCTTGGGAATGTGGAGTACCTACTTCATGGGGGTAGAAGCAGGGACTTAGGGCGGGGGGAGAAGGTGTGCTGGAAAGTTCTGGTAGAAGCTATAGAGAAAAGAAGCTGTATTCTTTTGAGAGAGTATCTGATCTCCATGGAAAATGGTTGGGGAAACGGCACTCTTTGCCTGGCCATACTGGTTCAGGTCTATTGGTAAAAAAACAAGCAGGGCTCTTCTCTGTGCTTCCTCCTAGAGTGGTGTGCTCTTGCTTGCACAACTTTTGAATGAAGACCCAGTCCTACAGCTGAAGTGCAGGACCTATGAAATCCCACGACACCCTGGCGTGACCGAACAGGTAGTGTAGACGACTGTGTTCAGAGGAGCCGTGGCTTTACTTTGAAGTCATATTTTCTCTCTTTTTGGGGAAACTTAAAGGTATCTTTGTCTTGCAGCATAGTTAGCTCTGCTATCATATTCTAGAAATATAACCTATTTATAACTGAGTCAAACCCCAGTCTTGCTTTTACTTATTTAATGAAATACCCTGTGTTTTGTTCTACAAAATAATAAAACACTTTAGTCAGAAGCCCGAAAGAGTTCCTTACTTTTGGAATTTGAGAGTGACTTAAGGCACAGATGTGGTATATATGTTTTTAATTTGGATTTAGGTGTAAAAATTTTTATAGTAAAAGAAAAAAGTTCTGGCTTTATTTTTAATACTATTACTATACCTGTTTCTCAGAGAGGGGGTGAAGTTTTTGTTTATAGGGGAAAGTAGAAGCACTGAGCTGAAGATTTGGACAGAAAAGAATGCTGTTTCATATGTAAGGCTCTCTGAATATAGTTTTCACTTCGCACGTGCTGTGTGAGAAGTTGATAGTCTCACAGTAAAAAAAAAAAAAGATTGTATAGCCACGAAAACTACTGTGCTCTTCTTTGGCTCACAGTAAACATCATCAAATCTATGTAAATATGCATTCCTTCTTTTTACTATCCTGCTTCCAAAAGGTTTCAAGTAAACAGATGCATGTATTGTGTACCTGTGTGGACTTAAATTGTATGAGAGATGGCCTGGAGTTATGGGGACTGGAGCTGTAGAAGAAACTTAATCTAGGAAAAGAGACTAGACTAATTCCTATTAATGCCTTTCAGTGAGTTAATCAGTAATGCAAAGCAATACCTAGTCAATTGCTTTTTTACAGAAGTAGATCTGCTTAGCAATGATGAAAATATATTATTTTCTTCTTTCTTATTTCTTCAATAGAATGAAGAGTTGAGTATATTATATCCGGTTGCCATTGTGACTATTGATGGATTTAGCCTTTTTCAGTCTCTTCGTGCTTGTCGAAATCAGGTAGCAAAAGGTAATTTTTTGGCAAGATGTATCGAACCTCTAATGTCTTACTTAATCTAACCTAAGAATGAAACATGTGCTCTGCATTAAAAAGGCCCGTGTACTAGATTTACAGAAAAAAAAAAAAAAAACAAAAAACCCTGCTACGTAGAGATGGGAGTGCATTTTTGGGTAGGTTGCTTAGTAATTTAAAGGCAAGCACTGAAAATCTGCACTCTCTACCTGTTCGGGGGAGGTAACCAAATTTCTCACCAGATCAGCAGCTCTCGGGCTGGTATACTAGAATCCCGTGATTCTGCAGTGCAGCTGTCCTCACTGAGGGTAAAGATACCTCTGTGTGCCGGGGGAGTTTTCCCACCGGTAGGCAGTACGCAACAGGGAGTCAACACTAGCTTTTTGCTACTGTGGAACACTCCTGAATGGACTAGTTGGAGGCCTGAACAGTGTGTATATGGGCAACTACATTATTTCCAAATTTGGTGAAAAGTGCACAAATAATCGAGAGTTCTTAGTCTTACTACTCAGAGTTGACCTTCTTACGAGGATACAGAACAGAGTTGTATTTCATCAAATTCAAGATGCCATTGTTTGTAGCCGCACTCATATTTTATGTACCACAAAGCAGCAAAAATGCTGCCGGAGAAAAACACGTCATCGATTTTAAGATCCCAATTTTAGAAAAGCCTTAATTAAACCCAGGGTAAATACCAGGATTAGTGGAGACTTTTCTCTTTTTCTTCTGGGTTTGGGTAGAGCAGCCTTAATGGCCCTAAAACAAAGTTTGTTTTGTTTGCAGAGTGATGTGATTGGTAAAATCCTGAAGTTTTGGTTATGTGGGCCTTTAATAGTACATACTTTTCTTTTAGGCCAGAACTTGTTTGAATGTTTACACCTATTTTCATAATCTTAAGTTACTTAAATTTAGGCACAATAAGCATTATCTTGAGGTCATTTAAAATAGTCACCATTAATATATATGCCTACAGAGACTGGCAGTTTTCTGCAGGTAAGAATTCAGTCAGTGAAATAAACTAGAAATAGATGATTATAATTGGTATTGTCAGCCATTTAATTTTTGTTATTTTTGAATTCCTCTTTATTTTTCTGTCTAAGACCATAAGGCCATTTTGTCTCTAGGAAGGAAGTAAGCCATTTAGTGCCCTCTTATCGTAAGTTGCTCTGAAAAGAATTCTGATGGCGTAGCCAAGAAATTGTTGTGCTTTTTATTTCTGCATGTAGGAAAATTCTCTTTTCTTGGCCTATCAAATCTGAGGTGCTTAGAGGAATATATATTTCACTTATTACAGTACTTTCTGGAATAAGCAACCAGAATCCAGCTGTATTCTTTTTTTTTTTTTTTGTATGCTACGTGTTTCTTTGTTGTTGTTGTTTACGATTTTATTTGTCAGAGACAGAGAATTTGAGCGCAAGCAGGGGGAGCGGCAGGCAGAGGGAGAGGCAGACTCCCTGCTTGGCAGGGAGTCTGATGAGGAGCTTGATCCCAGGACCCTGGATTCATGACCTGAGCCAAAGGCAAACTCTTCACTGACAGCCACCCAGACGCCCCCAGCCATATTCTAGTATGTAGCTTGAGAATTTACTGATAAATAGGACCTTGTGCCTGAGCCTGTGGCAAGAGGTATAATACTGCTTTCTCTTTTCATTACTCACTAGGCAGAAATACTGAGCAGTGATGGGCGTTTTATTCATTCTTTCTGGTAATGCTGTTGCTGTTAACATATCTATCAAGGCTGGCCTTGGTTACTTGCCTTAGAGACCTTGCTGGATGTGCGCTCCTGCTAGGCGTATCATCAGGTTTTTAGTTTTTCACCAAGTTAAGACACTGGTAGCTGTTCCCAGGATTTTATCATCTTTCTCCAGGAGAAGAAATTGCTTATTTTGTCATCAATTTGCAGTTTGAATTCACCTTAAATTTTAGTAATAGTCTAGGGTTTTTAATAGCCTCCTCCAATTACATGAATGTTCTGAAAATCTTTTGTGACAGTCAACTTACCCATAACGTTTGCATTTTACACGTATTGTCTTGGCATGAATAAACTTCACTTTAATCTTGTTTGCATTGCCTTCCTCATTATCATTTAAATTTTAGAGTAAACAAGTTATTACATTTTTAATGGCTTTTTGTAAAACTTCATCCACTACAGTTAAGTTTGGGTTGTTTGATTTTTGTCTTTAACAGCTGCAGCATCTGGCAATGAGAACATACAGCCCCCACCGTTAGCTTATAAGAAATGGGGTCTGCAAGATATTGACACTATTATTGATCATGCTAGTATTGGTAAGCATTACCAGTTCAAATTTTTATGCCATTTATTTCTTTCACTTTTTAATTGATGTGTCTCATTTATGAGAAATGTACATGTATTCTTATGTGAAAAGAAAATGCATCGCCTTTAGTGAGACATTTGGAAGTTACTCCAGACTTTCAGATTATCATAGGTGTATGTGTTTAAGAAGTCGTGGGAGTTTTAACAATTATGTCTTCAGCAGCAGTATCGAACAGTTAGCTCTTTCACTATTTGTCTAAAATTGTTTTGCAGATAAGTTTAATCCATGAAATTACCATATAGATCAGTCTTCTAAAATATAATCTTTGGACCAGCAGAATATAGGTAAAAACAGATTTCTTCTTGCAAGCGTATTTGAAAACTCACTCTGTTGGGCGTTGGGAACACAGAAACGAAAAGACGTGGTCTCATCCAGGAAGCATGAGTTCAGCTGGAAGACACATGTGAAAACAATTGCAGGACTACAACAGTAGTAGATGAGGGGACCAGAGGGAGTGGGAGCAGAGAAGCCCCTGACACTGAGGGAAGTAGGGAGCAGGAAGCTGACTTCGGTCTGACATTGGAAGAATGAGTAGGACTTGACCAGGAGAACAAGCACAGAGAAGGCATCTGGTCGACCTGTGCACGGGCCAGGGAGTGGACGTGCACTGTCTGCTGTAAAACTAATGGGCACTAAGGCCAGCTGGCAAGCAAGCTTGTAAATAGGAATTAGATTTTGAAGGGGCTCGTGTACTGTGCAGGGGAGTTTAGATCTTTCTCCTAGCAGCACGGAGAGCATTAGAGCATTCTAAGCAAGAGAATGGTATTATCACTTAGCCTGTTAGAGAAATCACTTTGGTGGAAGTTTTTGCAGGCTATAATATAGAGGTCAATATTAGAAACTAGGCACAGTAAGGAAGCTGTAATTATCTTGGTAAGAAGTGATGAGTTTCTGAATGAAGGTAGTAGAAATGGGAGTGGAGAAGAAAATACTACTTAAAAATTGTTTTTTCTGTTTATCAATGTATGCTTATTAAAAAATTCAAATAGTACATAAATATACAAAGAAAAAAAGAAAAAACACCCCCTTCATCCTACCATCCAGAGATACTCACCATTGGCATTTTGGTAAACCTCCTTACAGACTTGTATGTGAAATGCATGTGTTTTATGTATATATAGATATAGATATATATGGTTATATACAGAAATAGTTTTTCATAAATAGGATTATATCATACCAACTATACTGTAGCTGTTTCTAATCAACGTATTTAAAGAGCCTTCCAATCAGTTTTGCTAAATACACATTTTTATCAGGGTTCTAATAGAAGACAGATGGCACTCTTGAAATAGGACAGTTGAAACTCGTTTTATTTATAGAGAAACTACTTAGGAAGATGTGGTGTAGGAGAACCGTAAGGGATGGTACAGCATCTCGGGGGTTCTTAGCAGCCCAGCTGTTAACCACTCCCAGGCCAAATGGGGTGACGGCCTAGAGTAATTCCAGAACTTGGAGATGATGAGTAGAATCAGCATCTTAAGAGCAGGTTGACTTCTGCACAAATGTCACAGGGAAATAGGTGTCCTGGCTTCAGTTTCCTTTCTGTCCTTGATCTGCTGATGAGGCTTCCCATCGTCTGAACCCAAGTGGAGGTCAACGTAATGGACACACACTGGCCCTTGGGAGTGGGTGAGGAGAAAAGGAAGGAGTGTGAACCTGCAGGGTTAGACAGAAGATACCTGACACAGAGATCTCTTTGTTTATTGTTGCACGGTTCTGTGGAACACTCTGCAATCAGCACTTTACTGGCAGCCAGTTAGTCTGTCTGTACTTTTTGGCTGCAAAATTCCAAAGTGTTGAGTGCAGTTCAGGGTAGCTTCCCTGTTCTGTTAACTGAACTGCGGAACATTGCAACGGGCTAAGAACAATGATTGGATAGAAATTATCAGTCTATTCATTTATCTCCCAGCCTACAAAATGATTTTTTTAAAAAGTACAATGTACTTTATTTTGCATGTGCGTCTTTATGTGAAGTTTTGATTAATTCATCCAACAAATAAATGAATATTATGTCCTAGGTGTTAATTAATATTGGAGCTAGACATACAAGGCAGACAGGACCCTGCCCTGAATGAAGCTTACTTTCTGGTAATCAGGAGACACAGTGAACGATCGAACCAAATGAATAGTTTGGTAATTTTGAAATGTTGGTATGCATCATGAAGAAAATAGGCAGAGGGTTGTGATGGAGAGTAAAGAGAGAGGACCATCAGGTAGACTGGTGAGGAAAGGTCTCTCTGGGGAGGTGACCTTCACACTGAGATGTGAAGGGTGAGAAGGAGCCAGCTATGTGAAGAGGTGTAGGAAGAGCATTCTGGGCAGAGGAAGCAGCAAAGAGACAGGCCTGTGGGGCCTCAGCATCCTGAGAAACAGGAAGGAGGTCAATATGACTTGATTGTAAATGTAAGGATCAACAGGACAAAGTCAGGTTGGAGATGTAGACTAGGGTCAGATCCCATAGGGTAAGGAGTTTGGATTCTGTTCTAAGTATGGTGGATGTCATTGATGGAGTCTAGATACGGAATATTTAAAATCATCCTTCTGACCTGCTGCTTAGAGAGAGGCTTGTAAAATAAAAAGTAAAGGCAGGGAGACCAGGAAGGAGTTTGTTGCAGGAGGGGAGAATGATGGCTTTGCCTATGATGGGAGCAGTGGAGTTGGAGAGGGTAGATGGAATAAAGACATATTTTGCACTTGGAGAGGGATGGATTTGAGAAAAAAGAGAAAGGAAAGATTCGAGGATTTCTTAGTTTTTAATTTGTTATTTTAAGGATTTTTTTTTGGTTTTTAAATTTGAGCAAATGAGTAGATGATCAGACTTTACTAAAGTGAGAATAAGGAGAAGGAAGATGTTTGAGGTAGACAGATTGGAGTTCTATTTTTTCCAGGTTAACTTTTGACACAATTACACATTCAAATGGAGGTGTCAAGTGGGCAGTTAGACATACATGTCTAAAGCTTAGGGAAGAAGTCCAGATTATTGATAAAAATTTGGGTGGGAACAGTTGACTGTGCAATGCTTCATAGAATCCAAGAAACGGAGAGGGTCCGTTGGATTTGACAACGTAGAGCTCTTCACTGAGTATGATATGAGCACTTTAGGTGGACCAGTGAGGATGAAAGCCAGATTGGAGTAGGTCGAAGGAGAAATATTTCCACCCCTACTTTCAAAAATTAGAAACACAAGAACAAGAAACTGGATCACACATCTCCATTTTTATGTCCAGTCTTGACCGCTTCCTTAAAATTCATATTCCTTCTCCAGCTCCTGTTGAACTGTTGTCCACCTGGATATCCAGACTTAACATATCCAAAGCAGAATTCTTGATTTCCTCCCCCAGACTTGTTCCCCCTTTTTTCTTCTATATCTTCTCTTGTGTTGCTCACATCAAAAGACTGAGTCATCATTGCCCCCTCTTTTTCTCATGTTTCATCCAGCCTCCCATTTGTCTCTTCCTGTCTGACCACCACTCATCTCCATCCCTGTTAGCGCCATGGTCTGAGCCACCATCATGTCTTGCCTGAACTGTTGAGAGAAAAAAATATTCTAACTGGCCTTTCTGCTGCCTTTCTTCCCTCTCTAAAATTTTTTCACCAGTTAGCAGCTAATATCCTTTGGAAATGTCAGTCATTTTTTGTTACTCTTTTGCACAAAATGTTATTTATAGTGGCTTCTCATCTTATTCCTAATAAAATCCAAAGGCTTGACAGAAGCATAGCAGGCCTGCCATTGCCTGGTTTTTCAGTTTTACCTTCTCTTCTTTAGTACCCCCACCGGCCCCCCTGTGTGTTCCACCGTGCTCATCTCCTTGTTGTTGCTGAGATGCACCAAGTATCCTCCCGCTTGAGAGCACTTGTGTGCTCCTTCTGCCTGGAAAATTTTATGCAGCTAGCCACGGGGCTCTCTCTCTCACTTCATTCAGGTCTCTGCTCAAATATTATTTTGTCAGAGAAGCCTTCTTTAGCCACTATAATGGACCTAGGAAATCATCCAATGAGTTTGACTTTGTAGAACTTTATATTAAGATTTAAATTAGTATGAATATTTTAATAATGATAATATTTAATTCTTAATAGCAGTTTAATATTTAATAAATTATATTTCAAGTTGGCATTCTGTTTATAGAAATATTGTATTTTAATATGTATTTTTAACTGTAAATTATAATTTATAATATAAATTATGTTAATATTTATACTAAGGTGTTTCAAAGTGTGGAAAGGTCTCAGATGTTCAGGAAATTAAAAAAAACTCACATCTAAGGAAATGTAATTACAGTAGGTAGCTTGTCTCAGCAGTGAGTAATATTTACATCATTCCTTTTTTTTTTTCTTTTAAATATTTTATTTATTTATTTGACAGAGAGAGATCACAAGTAGGCAGAGAGGCAGACAGAGAGAGAGAGAGAGGAGAAAGCAGGCTCCCTGACAAGCAGAGAGCCCGATGCGGGACTCAATCCCAGGACCCTGAGATCATGACCCGAGCCGAAGGCAGAGGCTTATTAACCCACTGAGCCACCCAGGCGCCCCTATTTACATCATTCTTAATAATGAAAACAGTGAATGTGAATTTAAAAAATTGAAATATGTGTATATTGGAAGGATATGGTAGAAGGAAGAGGGGCTGTCAATAAGCTGTATCTTCATTTGCCTTAAATCAGTGAAAAATAATGCTAAGATTGGTGACTCAGAAGACAGCAGACCTCTGGATCCCATCACTTGGTTGTAGTATAGAGAGCCTGACAGTGTGTTAGATAATAACACAGGGGGTGTAGTCAGCCAGCTGTAGACTGTGGGAGAGGAGTGTCACGGAGGCTTGGGGGGGAGGGGTCAAGCAGGATAGTAGGATTTGGGGCTGGTCTTGGATGTCCATTTGTTTGTGAACCTTAGTGCTCGTTTCAGCAACACATATACTAAAATTGTTTGTGAACCTTACTCGGAAACCTAGATGTATCCCCACCCCCCCCCCCCCCCCCCCCCCGGCAATGATCAGCTGTTCTGCTGTAAAGAGCAGAGAATACGGAAAGTCTAGGTCATCCGGGTTAGGATTTAGCCAGGTGAGTGTGTGAGAGAGACACAAGGCAATTGTAGGTGTCTGCAAGAGAACGACTGTGATGGAACACAAATCTAGGCCAGGTAAGAAGGGCAGTGAACATGGAAATTGCTTGATAGTGAAAAAAATAGTAGGATTAATGAAACCCTTGATGAAATTGTGGAATATTACAGGGTTAGTAGAGTAAGATGGAAAGCTATGAGGTGGTTGTCAAAAGGTGGTATGCTTGAAATCAGGGTTTCAAAGGCTATAGAGTTGACGACAGGATCTTAAGTGTGTGGGGCGCTGACAGTGGATGACTGAAATTGTGGGAAGGGGAAGATCACAGTGGTAAGGATGGAAAGAACTGATCAGCAGTCTCTTTAGAATAAATTAGAATAAACCTGCTTAAAATTTAGGTGCGTATTGGGAAATTGTCCTCTGGATAGCTTGTAGCAATTTATACTCCCACCTATAGCATGTGGGAGTATGGAGAGAAGTTATTCTAAAGCTTAAATTTCAATTTATATGCCACACAATTCACCCTTTGATTTCATTCTGGTAGAGTCAGGCAAAACTTATGCAAATTTTTATCATACAGTAAAAACATTTTGTATTTTGAATCATGAATTCATTCAGGAATGTGAGCCAGGCATTCTGATCTTTCCGCGCAGTCCCACTTCTGCAATAGTTGAATCCCTGAGTCCAGCAAATGGTTTGCTCATGAACTCCCTAAAAGTATTTCCTTTCCCAGGACTCTTCTTCAGGAACAATGTGTTTTTTGACCATTTGCAGGCAAAGTAGAGGCAACACCTATGTGTGAAAATTAGGATAACTCTTATTCCATTCTACAGTGTATTTGAGTTCAGAACTTCCCAACTGGGTATCTTCATGGACCATATGATGACCCAGGTCCCATATGCGCACCTGAGTCTACACAGGTTGGCATTAGCAGTACGTCTTTACTTCCTAGGTCTTAAGCTTACCTACCCCCACCCCCCCCCGTCTCTTCCTGCCACCCAGATGAATATACATGATCTTGATTTTTCTTCTGCTACTCCACATAGGCATGTGGGTGCCAGCATTCAGTCTGTCTGCTTTTGCTCTTAGAGCCTTGGGGAAAATGAAAAGTTAACTCTTCCTTAGAAGAGTTGGGGATTTCTGGACTACAAAGTAAAGGTTTAAAAGTGTTTGTTTTTGCTGGGTTGGGAAGGGTATAGGAGCAGAGATGCTCTCTCACTTTGTTGGGCGGGGAGTTAGCCCCACCCCTATGGAATGCAATATAACAGTATTAAATAAAATTTTAAAAAATGTGATCCCCTCTGAGCCCACACTTCTGTCTATAAGAATTTTCCATACAGGGAGAGTTCTATAGGTGCACAAAGACATATCAGAGATATAAATTGCAGCATTGTTCGTCATGGCAAAAGATAGGAAGCCATCTAGATGTCCATCAGTAGGTCAGATCAGTTACGGTATGGCCGTTCAGTGGGTGAGTGATGAGGAAGAATGAGGCACGTCTCCTTGATATATTATTAAATAAATCACACAACCACTGTCATTTATGTATGTACAACATCTCTGGAAAGCAGCAAAAGAGATGTTTCAGTTGGGGCCTCTAAGAACTGACTGAAACCTGGAGATCTAGGCAGACTGTACTTTTGTACGGTTTGAATTTTGTATCTGTTAAAAATTTAATATTTAAATTTTGTTTTTGTAGCATTTTATGGCTTAGAGGAATAGATGGCACTTTTAATATCCTATGAAGAGCTTATGACATTGATTTTTGGTATTTTAAAAATGACTTCTATCTGTTACATAAAGCTAAGCAGTTTGTGGCTTCAAATAGAATGGATGTAAAAATTTAATGACCTAAAATGAGTGTCATTTTAGTGCATTCTGCTCACATGTTGTTGCTGTTGTTTTAAAATAGGTATCATGACTCTGTCCCCTTTCGACCAAATGAAGACTGCCTCCAACATAGGGGGATTTAATGCAGCAATTAAAAACAGTCCACCCGCCATGTCACAGTACATCACCGTCGGGTCCAATCCATTTACTGGCTTCTTCTATGCGCTAGAGGTAACAGTTTCCTCACTGATCACGAGTGAGGCCTCTCTTGGTTTTTCAGCTTGTCTACGAATGGAATATCGTGAGTTAGCCTGAGAAAGATTCAGCAGTTTACATTTTCTAGTTTCATTGGAAGCTAAAATTAGTCTCTGCTGACTTTCTTCTAAATTCTTAGGGGAACTGAGAAGGTTCTAAAGTCAGCGTAGAACTAGACTTCTGTGTTTCTGATACCCCAAGTTCTTGGACAGTTGATTTGTCTTTAAATTTTGATGCAGTCCTCCGCGGCTCAGGGTTGTGAATGTCGGCCCACCAGGGATTTGAGTAAATGGCGAATTGTAAAGCCGCCAGCTATGGTTGTTGTAAGTGGTGAAAATTGGCTCCTACAATAGGGGACCACTAGGTGCTGGACTTGGTGTCTCTTATTTCTTGCTTAAAAAAACCAACCTTCTCAGAATTGTCCACACTATCTCTTTACTTTATTAAAAAAAGAGGAGGGACAGGAGCCAATTGTATGTAGATTGGAAATCCATAGCCCTGCTAGAATAATGCCATCTTAATGTCCTAGTTTAAACTTCTTAAGTTAATTAAATATAAGGAGGAAAATCCTGGAGACAAATAGAGGACTAGCGATTTTACTGTTCAACTCTAGAGTTGAAACTTCTGATTTTATTGCTACCTCCTAAGATAAAGCTTTTGTCGTATGGTCTGAAAGATGCTGAATATTTTTGCTAGTCCAGACTTTACAGCTTTTCACAAGTTTTAAAAAGCAAGCCTTGCCTAGAAAGCGTGTTTTGTTTCTCTGTCCGCTGTTGAGTTTTCTGTTTGGCACGTCCTGTTTTCCAGGGGAGCACCCAGCCGTTACTGTCTCACGTGGCGCTGGCGGTCGCCAGTAAACTCACTTCTGCTTTATTTAACGCTGCCAGGTAATTCCAGCACCATTCCGGGTAAAAGTAGCTGTATTATCTGTGTGTCTGTAAAGTTACCTGGGTGGTTTCACAACTGTTTTGGTCGTCTGCACGTTAAAATGCCGGGAGCGCTGGTTTAATTCTCCATTTCCTTTCTGTGCAGTGGCTGGCTTGGTTGGAAAAGCAAGCACGAAGAAGAAGCCGTGCAGAAGCAGAAGCCAAAGGTCGAGCCGGCCACCCCGTTGGCTGTCAGGCAAGTCTGTCACGCTCCTCTCGCAGTTCTGTGTTTTAGCAGGAGTGCTTTGAAACTTCTGGTCTTCCGGGGCCTTAGCTGCTGCGCCGATGTCACGAGGTTCTGTCACGATATGAACTCCTCGAGGAGGGTGGTTCTTGCCTGTTTGGCTCACAGCCGCCTCCCCGGCCTGTGGGAGGTGCTCAGTATGTATTTGCCAAGTGGGCTTTTTTCCCCAAATACCTATAACCTTAGCTTAATTTAAGTTGCAAGAAAATTTGTTTTGGGAGAGCTGTTGAATTTTTTTAAAGAGCTGAGATAGTTTGTCAGTAAGCTGTATAAACTTAAAAAGTGCTTAGTGATTTCTTTAAAAAAACATAAAACAAGGAGTCCCATGCATTCAGGCACTCCTCAGAAGGCAGGGTTGTGCTCTTTTGTTCACTTCCGTTGTGCTATAGGATACTGTATGTGTCAGGTTCTGGGGTGAGAGAGTGTGATTTTTGCTTGATTTTGTTTTTCAATCATTTTTGTTACCTAATGTAAAATACTACTATAAAGGGAACCAGAACCATCCCCTGCTTGCGGATGTTCTTTACCTAAGAGGTATAACTAATTATCTGTTATTAAAATTTATTGAAGATGATCCTCTAAGGTTTTTTCATCTTTTTAAAAATCTGATAACATCTCATATTTTATAAATTCACTGAAGAATCAAGAAGTAAGCCAGATGGCCCTGCGCCTCCCAAATAGGTTAGAACATTGGGGTACCTCATCTCAGAACTTTGCTCCATGCTAAAGTAAGATTGGTTCTAGACCAACAACATTTGAGAGATAATTCTTATCATTGTTTATTATTTAGAAGAGGGGAAGTTCTTCAGGTAGATAGAGTGATGTCAGCAGGATATGATATCTAGCAGAAAGAAGAGATTAGAAATACGAACTTAAATCAGACAAAAGATGCCTGCATAAGAGCAAGGTATTCCAAAATTTCATTGGTTGTGAGGGTGCTATTTACTATGATATAACAGTTAATCAAGGAAAGATTGTTATACTTGATAGTCTCTAAAAATAAAAGATTAGATATCTATATAGAAAATCTATGAAATAAAACTTAGGTGTTTTATTTTATAATGGAAGAAACTTCTTATGCACTTGGTGTTGCAAAATGTCTGTTGTGCTTAGTTAGTAAATTAACTATTAATCTATGCAGGGTTTATATTTCTTCTTCTTTTTTTTAAAAGATTTTATTTATCTACCCAGCAGACAGAGATCACAAGTAGGCAGAGAGGCAGAGGGGGAAGCAGGCTCCCTGCTCAGTGGAGAGCCTGATGCAGGGATGCCGGGCTCGATCCCAGGACCATGAGATCATGACCTGAACTGAAGGCAGAGGCTTTAACCAACTGAGCCACCCAGGCATCCCTATGTTTCTTTATATAAAAATAAATTTGGCCTATTTTGTTTATGCAGCTCATGATTCTGTCATCTTTTTCTAGACTGGAATTTGATTTGAGCTTTTTATTTTCTTTTAAATACCAGATTTGGACTTCCAGATTCTAGACGCCATGGTGAAAGTATATGTCTGTCTCCATGTAACACACTGGCAGCAGTAACAGATGATTTTGGCAGAGTAATTTTATTGGATGTGGCTAGAGGAATTGCAATACGCATGTGGAAAGGTACTTCCTTATAAAAATCCAGGAAAAAAATGTTAATTTGCTTTTTTACCCCAGTAGTTGAGCAGTATTATCATCTGTTAGCTTCTGGTGGACAATATTGCTTAATTTGTTATGTTTATGCTTTTTTTTTTTTTTTTTTTTTTAGCATGAACTCATTTCAGTAGCGCTTGATCGTAGTCCAATTGATCTGCCCTTTAAGTTTGACCAACTTATAGGCACTGTTAATCTCTTCCTTATATACTTTTCAGTTCTCACTGTCATTACCAAATTCCTGAAATCAGTTTCTTGCCCCTGTTACATTCATTCTACTTCACAAGGTCATGTTTAAGTCAGATGTTCTCTTCAAATCTAGAATACTAAGTCTTTCGAACTAAAGATGGCAAAACCCATCTTTGCTGACACGACGTCCATATCCATATGCTTGGGTTAATTTCTTAAGTTTCTTGGTCAGGAGTTGTAGTTAGCTGCTAATAAAAAACCCATGTTCAGGATTGATACGATATGCCCACGACATCCTCAGGAGCCCAGTTCCACTTCTTGAGCTTCCCCACTCAGAGTTATTTCATGGTTCACATGGCTGCTGGAGCTCCAGCCTTTGTATCTGCATTCCAGGAAGGAGGAAAGGAAGAGGAGGAACTATCAACTGAGCCAGTTCACTGTGAAGATGATTTCCTGCCAAGCTTTTTCTGCAGTGCATTAGCCAGGACTTAATCACATAGTCATACCTATCTATAAGGGAGACTTGTAATATCTAGGCACACTGTCCACCTGAAAAGATAAAATCTCTTTGACCAAGGAAGAGGGGAGAATGCATATTTTGGAATCATCTGGAGAAGTAACATGTCAGCACAGACGGACTACTGGTTAGAAACCACAATAATCATGCAATCTGGTCTGTACTGAGCCGTGTGAGGAGTAATGGATTTGAGGACATTAAGTTACTCTGGACAGATAGAGAACACTGTCACCTTCTTCCAGAGAATTCCCGCAGTGTTTACCTGTTACATGTTTAAGTGTCTGTAGAAACAGGTTTTAATGCTGCAGATACATCATTTCTATTGGTGTTTGTCTTCTGAAATAACATGAAGGGTGGTTCTCAGCAAGACTTTTCCAGAATGTAGAAGACATAGTTACACCAGCTGGGCCAGACCCACTATAGCGATCTTATTGCTGGCACTGCTGCTTTTCCTTCTGTAGCAGGTGTAGCAGTTTTCCCCCACACTCGGACGAGAAGGGTCAGTTGCCTGTGGAAGGGGCCCCCCTGAGATGGAAGACAGTGTCAGCTACATCTCTCTCATATAGGCTGCGGCTTCCTGCCGCTGCTTTGCACCATATTCTCCCTGTCTGCATAGCACCAAGGGACTTGAAAAGCAGGAAATCAAGTTGATCTTTCTCTTATATTTTAATTGGACTTTTATTTAAAATCTAAACCTGGTAATACCACCGGATTTTTTAAAGGGAGAGAATTTTTTTAAAGAGAAGGAGTGACGAGCATGGCATTGTGGAAGGGTACTCATGAAACTGTAGTGATCTCTGTTTTTTTTTTTTGTTTGGTTGTTTTGGTGTTTTTTTTTTTTTTTTTTTTTTTTAAGAATAAGAAGTGATCAGAAGCAAATATAACAAAATGCCAAGATTTAATAAGACTTGGTGATTATCTTTTTCTGTTTAAGATACTTCATACTAAAAAGATAGTGTATTTTTGTAGCTTTTCTTAACCCTCGCTGAAATATCCCAGAGTCCTTCAGAAGGCTACAGTTGCCCCTAGACTAATTAGCTTCCCTTTTCCTCGGTCTGTAAGGGTATCGAGATGCACAGATTGGTTGGATCCAAATCATAGAGGACCTCCACGAAAGAGTACCAGAAAAGGCAGATCTTTCCCCTTTTGGAAATACTCAGGGTCCAAGCCGAGTAGCTCAGTTCCTTGTGATCTATGCACCAAGAAGGGGAATCTTAGAAGTGTGGAGCACGCAGCAGGGACCTAGAGTTGGAGCCTTCAACGTGGGAAAGCACTGCAGGTAAGCGGCAAACCCTGGCATTTTCCTGGTTACGAAAAGGAATGCTTTTATTATAGTCTTTATTAAAGCTACTTATTAGGTTGCAAGTTGTTTGAGAATTGCAGTGTTACTATGGTTTTCCCTCCAAGCGCCTGCCATATGATTAAGGATTAAGTATTTAATAACAAAAAATCTTACTGAAAAGGCCATGATACACTACCGAATTTAATAAAGTTACCTGTGGTGCTGCCATTTATCCCCAACCCTTTCGTATGCTGTGGAGGCTCAAAAGGAGAGATTCCTTCAGATTCCTGCGGTGATGATGTTAAGTGAGGTGCAGCCTTTGTTTGCCGTTGCTACCTAGGCCTGACTGTCCTTTGATTTTCTAGCCCATTTTATCAAGGCAGAGCTCTGCCAGTCAGGATCCGTTTTACTTATGCTTTTGGTATCAGTTAGTGTTTATTTGCCTTATTAGTGCTCCTGAATTGGTAATAATGTAGGGGTCCCTCGCTATCATGAAAGCACTTTTGGCATTTTTCCTTTTGTCTAATATTCTTACCATACTGGTTTGCCATCTCCTCAGGCTTCTGTATCCTGGCTATAAAATAATGGGCTTAAATAATGTAACCAGTCAAAGTTGGCAGCCGCAGACTTACCAGATCTGCCTTGTCGATCCAGTGTCTGGAAGTGTGAAAACAGTCAATGTTCCTTTCCATTTAGCGCTGAGGTAAGATTCATCCCTCTGCCAACTTTTCCGTCCCTTGTTTTGCTCTTTGTTTTGTAGTTACCATTTTGTTGTGGCTTTTTCTCATTAGACAGATATCTTTAAAGTTAAATAGGAAGAATACGAAGGGAAAGAGTTGGAGTGTGTCAGACTTAGAAGGAAGGCGATTTCACATTCTGTAAGAATTTGTTGTATTTATTGTTTTAGCGACAAGAAGTGTGAACGAGCCAAGGACATGCACCTAGTGAAGAAGCTGGCCGCCCTCCTGAAAACGAGACCTCCCCACCTCGGTGCGTGTCCTGGAGCAAAATAATAATGCATACTCTTAGGTCATTTTCTCAATGAGTAGCATATTCTAAATGCAGCAATCAGAATGTTTCCGTTCACTTTTTGAGCTGTTGAAACTCCTCAAAGTAAGATGAGGTCCAAGTAATCATGTATCTTTTTTACTGGAATTGCTCTGTAAATACGAGGCATGCCCTCTGGGCGATATTAAAATTTGTAACAATAAAACAATACTGTGAGAGAAACCGGAAGTCCCTTAGCTGACTGATAGCCACCAATAAGTGCATTCTTCTTTCAGAGTCAAGTTTCCCTTGTAATAAAAGTGAAAAATTTACCTTGGTTCATTTTCTCTTTGTAGATTTGGTTGAAACACAAATGAAGGAACTAATTCTTGATATTAAGTACCCCGCAACCAAGAAACAAGTGAGTATGTATAATATATGAGCTTTCCTGCTGGGTAGCTAGGACATATTTCTATTAAGAAAGCCTTTATTTTCCTTTTTCCCTCCAAACATGACAGGCTAACCTCTTTTCCGTTTTTTTATTCATGCATCCTTTTTTATATTCCCATATGGAAGCTCCCGTTGTCTCTTTCTCCTTCCCTCCTTTTTTTTTTAATTAAGTAACATTACCGTACACATGTGTGCATGTTTGAAACACACACACACACAATACATACCATATACTCAGATAATAATCATGAACACATCTGTGTGACCGCCTACCTTAGGACATAGAATGTTACCAAGAACTCTGAAGAGCCCTCCGTGTCCCTCCTCAAGCCCCTTCTCCCATTCTTACTCTTAAGGTAATGAGCATTCAGAATTTTGTGTTTCTCTCTCTTTTGCTTTTAATAGTTATATTATTTCTGTATGGCTCCGATAAAACATCGATGCATTTTCTGCCTTTTAAAACTTGGCATCACTGGAGTCCTGCTCGTGTCTCCTTGCCGGGACTTCACTCCTTCAGCTGTTTCTTCGAGGCGTCCCTGTTGACACGTGTGGCTGCAGTGGACCCTGCTGTGTCTTCTGTTATTCTTGACTCACTCTGCTCCTACCAGTGGGCATTTAGGTTGTTTCCAGTCTTTGCTCTCCCCGGGGATACCGTGCTTATCCTTGTACGTAGGGCACTACACATCTTTATGTTTGGGAATTGTAGCGCACTGGGCTTCTCTGGCTGTCCCAGTTGTTGAAAGGCTGCTTCTCAAAAATACTTGCACTAGTTTATGTTCCCGCTCCTACCGCGGAAGGGGCCTGTTGCTCCCACAGCCTCAGCGTCCCATAGTATTGTCAGACTTGTTGCCTTTTGCCAGGTTTGCGGTTCTGATACAACAACTCGCTGTGATTTCTTTGGCTCGCCCCCTCTTCTCCAAACCCCTCCTAATGCTGCTCAGGTTCTCACTCTGTAAATTCTTAGGCACTTCAGTCCCCGTGGATACCTCTGAACCCTTACTCTGTTTTTAGTCAGAACTGGACAGCTAGTGGTTACTTGCTCTGTTCTCTATTTCAGGTAGCTGATTCCTAGCTCACCAGTTTTTTCCTTTTTACCTCTTTTAAGCTCTTTCAGGTAGGGACCTCACCAAATACGTCAGTTTCTTAATCCACAACAACTAAAATAATGTTAGGTATGTGGGAGAATTTCGGGAATACTGATTTCTTTTTATCCCTTTTTAGTTTACTGTGGCAGTCATTTTTAAAAATACTTTTATTTTATTATAGAACAGGCAAGTCCCCATAACTTTTTTTTTTTTTTTTTTAAGAGAAGAAGGGTGAGGAAGGGCAGAAGGAGAGGGAGAGACAATCTTAAGCAGGCTCCGTGCCCAGTGCATAGCCCGCAAGGGGCTCGATCTCACAACCTTGAGATCGTGACCTGAGCTGAAATCAAGAATCAGACACTTAACTGACTGAGCCACCCAGGTACCCACGGCCCTGTGACTTTTAGTCAAGTTTTCCATTCCACTAACAGGGCTAATTGGTTCTCATTTTTCTCAGGGCGAAGTCTCAGTTATGAGGGATGACATTCCTGTGACAAGGCGGGCATCCAAGAAAGGTAGTTTAGAGAACCTGTAGTAGAAAGGGAGGGTTATTACCCAAACCAGCCTTCCCGTTTTGATACCATCCTCTTTCTTCTCTTACATCATGAAACAACAAAATTGGGAACGTTGAGCATACTACAAATTGTCTTCTTGACCTTTAAAAACAGTATTATACTACTCAATTGTATGTGAAACTAAGAATTTTATAAAAAATGCTGGAAAAGCTAGTAGTGGAAGTTGTGTATTATTTTCAACACTAAAGGAGAAAACAGTAGTTTAGGCTCGGAAGAGTGACTAAATGGTGAACCCAGCTGCTAGCTAGTGTAATGGTAGACACAACAGAAACAATTACATTTTGCTGGGTATTTGCCTTTTTGAGTCACTTTCTTTATATCCACCATGTAGTTGCCTCATCATGGGCTTGACCACACTCTTGAGCCACTCTCGGAGCCAATTTCTTACCCACACACACACACACACACACATAAACACACACACACACCCCTACACACACAGAGGGGGTTGTGTTACAGTCTTTACCTCATGCTACATTCTCAGCCTACTTTTGAAATTATTTACTCTCATCAATAAAAAGTTTAATGGGCTAATACGGAAGGATAAGTATGAACTTTAACTGCTGTGTCTATCCATTGGTGATTCTCATGGTTGCTTCTTTAGGCATAAAGAGAGATTTTGGAACTGGTAGTGAAGGCTTCTTAAGTATCTTCTGAGGGAGGGCAGGAAAAGGAAGTGGGGGTGAGGTCGGGAACATAGATAGACCTTGCGGGGCCTATACATTCACCAGCCATGCTCAAATGCAGTCATTAAGTGGTAATTAAGTTGTTGTTAGCTTTCATCATTGACACAACAGTAACAGCTCTGCTTTTCATTTATGGCTGTGAGTATAGACTTACACTCTTCCTGTTGGTGAATAGTTTTGTCATGGTTCCTGTTTCATCTTGGCCATTCTGTTAAATGCCAGTTTCCTTGTAGTTGTTTCATTCTGAGTCTGGACTTTTTGCCATTCCACCATAAGGGGCATGAGATGAGATTGATTGCATAATACATATGATGCAACTCTCCTTGTCAGGTATGTACGTTATTAAAACATCTTCACTATGGAGCTTCTCTTGGAAATTTGGGGTAGTGAAGGTGTCGGCATAAATACAAAATTTAAAAAACAAAATCAGTGCCTTCTGATTGCTCAATATCTTTCTTCTAGGCCTTGGAAAGCATTTTGGCAAGTGAACGATTACCATTTTCCTGCCTTAGAAACATCACTCAGACTCTAATGGATACTTTAAAAAATCAAGGTAATGGGGTTTGTACTGATTGGAGGTTCTGGTCTTCATATTTTATAATTCTTATTATAAAAACTATTCCTGTTTATGATATCTCATGTTACTTCAGTGTGGAAATACTGTTAAGAAATAAGGAAACTTATTTCATGCCTTTAGTATTTGGAGACTTTTTTATTCCCTGTTTGTATGTAGCTGTATGAAGCTGATCTCCAGCTGAGCCTTCTCTGAATATATTGTTTCTTTCTGGAAATATTTCTCTTTAAAATATTTCTACTGTGAAAGAGACTAGTATAGGATGGTGAGAAGTGGTTGTTTGATACAGTTGTACGTGTGTGAAAGGCAGCAGCATGAAGATTTTCTTGCTTTCACTGTCTTTTATTTAACTTTATGGGAGGAGAGCAGTTTCTGTAGATGAAACATTCTTTAAATAATTTTGTTTTGACTGAGATAATGATTTTTTAAAAAGTACGCTTTGAATTAATGTTCTGTTAATGTATGCAGAAAATCTGCATTTTCTCCTCCACTTCCCTCATGAACAGTAAGGACTTCCAAAATTGGACTATGAGTAAATTTACACTCATAGCTGATTGTTTTTTACTGTTCAAAATTTGTCTGAAAAAGAATTACATCTCTAACTCTGGGATTTTAACTCCATCCTCTTTCCAGCTGACCCAGCAAAATTCAATTTATTCTGAATACCTAACATGTATTAAATTGTAGTGTGTAATATGCATACTTCATCTAGCTGTGACTTTTTGCTTGTCATGTTAATTATATAAAGCCAGCTTTATATTTATATTTAAGCCAACTTAAAAGTAGTTTAATAAATATATAGTATCCCCTTTTAAGACTTTAGGCATCCTAACGTTGAGATTTTTTTCCCAACACATATTTAAAGCTGACTTTTAGAAAATAGGGAATTTCTTTAGTGTTTACAACTTGTTAGAAATACCTCTTTTAAAAACCATAGTGTGCTTATAAAGTTCCCCATCCCTCAGGACATTACCAAAATCTCAAAGTTTACTGAATCAGAATTTATCTTGCACTGGGCTGAGAGTAAGTCAAATATAACTATTGGAATTCTATAAAATCATCACCAGTTTCAAGTTCTACCCAAAATTGAGTTCCTAAAAATTTCACCTACTGAATATGCTAAGTTTTATTGTAGCTATACCAATTCTTGGAGGTAAATAAAGTCCCTGCCTTTTAAAAGAATAGTTGTTTTACATTAGATGGTAGGTACTTAAATTATCATGCAGGAATGTATTATATAGAGAGTATTTCTCTCTCTCTCTCTATCTCTCTCCCCCCCCCCGCTTTTTTTTTTAAAAGCCCGATTGATGGAGAATGTTAAGTAGAATTGTACTTCAGTCTCTTTGCCAGCCTCCCTTGAGGATAAATCTGTTATAGTCCAGAGTTTGTCCTTGAATTCTGGTATCCTTGTCCACCACGATAACAAGAGCCAGGCAGCTTTCTGTTCATCTGTCCTCTGTCTGTGAGCGGAATAGGCAGCGTATGAGTTAATGGGTGAGGGAGAATATTTTCAAAGCTGTTTTCAGATCATTTTTTAAAAATTTGAATATTAGACTAAGATAGCTCTTTTTTCTTTTTTTCTCCCCACCCTCCAACTACTAGTATGCCTTATGACACTTAAAAATTGGGACATTTTTCCGTGATGGAAAAATTATCTTTGTCCTAGTAATCTGTGGTAGCTTAAGTATTTCAGTATTTAATAGCGTAGCACATCAGAGAAGTACATAATACTGTGAATGTTAACGAAAGAAAGAACTTTTTATGAATCTATTAAATATATCTCTTTAATGTATTTTTTTCTTCCACCTTTCAGAGCTGGAGTCTGTTGACGAAGGATTGCTACAGTTTTGTGCCAATAAACTGAAATTACTCCATCTTTATGAGTCTGTCAGTCAGTTAAATTCTGTTGATTTTCATTCAGATACGCCATTCTCGGATAATGTAAGTAATTCTATTCCTCATTATACGAAATATTATATTTTTAATTTTTAATTTTTTTTTTTAAGATTTTATTTATTTGACAGGGAGAGACACAGTGAGAGAGGGAACACAAGCAGGGGAGTGGGAGAGGGAGAAGCAGGCTCCCTGCTGAGCAGGGAGCCCGATGTGGGGCTCGATCCCAGGACCCCAGGATCGTAACTTGAGCCCAAGACAGATGCTTAAGGACTGAGCTGCCCAGGTGCCCCTATTTTTAATTTTTTAACTGCTAGTAAAGAAGTAGATAATTGAGAATTTTTATGAAGGGTAAAGATGTTTTTTTGGTACAAGACCTCCTGCTGGCTCTCCATGCCTTAGTACTAAATTTATAGTATTTATGCTAAGATATTGCAGTTTATTGTTAATTCATTCTCACTATCCTAGAAGCATTTGATTTCTCTCAACTCACTTTCTAAGGTTGCTTCTCACAACATAACTGGACAAGATTTGCCAATTGAAATATATTCAGTTTACTGAAGTAGCAAAACTTTAAAGGAAAAAAAAAAGATTTTGCCAAACGGAAGACACTGGTTTTTCTGCGGTGCCATTGTGAACAAACTCATACAGCTTGTTCTCTTGTCTGCTACATAATGAAATACTTTTTAAAAGTTCTGTCTTACATGAAAGTGTTTAATTCTAGTAAATGTTCTATGTTGTCATTCTGTAAAACATTTAAAAAATGGCAGTGCCTTGTAATCTTCCTTACAGTGCGGTATTGCTTATTTCTAGGCATGTATGCAAAATTCTTACTTTTCATACAGAGAAATAGTTTCCATAATAGAGAATAGGGGGAAAGGTGGTCCTCTCTTTCCCTTGATTACCATGTGACTGTGGACAGGTTGCTTGCCTTAGGGTGCATGTCTTCCATTTACCTAAAGGAAAATTATTATGTAAATGATTTTAGTGATTTGTTAAGTCACTGATAATACTTATAAAAAAATTACCTGGTGTATCTGAAACTTAATGGACGTTTAACTTAGACAACTTTTATTTTAAATACACATACGTGAATAAAAATTTTTAAACAGAAAATTCGCTCTGTATTGGAAACCACTTACACATTCTAACATCTTTTTTATCCTTGGGATTATAGGTGCGTTTCATAAAGCATTTTAACAGTCTTCATAACATTCTGCGATTGCCATTATAAGTAACAAAGCCATTTTTCAGGATCTTTGTGTTTTTCTTTCCTCTTTAGCAATAGTATAAAATCATTTCAAACAATAAGGTTCAGGTGGACTAAATTATCTCTGCAGAATTGCCTTGATATTTCATAGATTCTTTTTCATAAGATCCAAGATTGCCTACCTCACCAAAGAAAGTTAAGTATATGTCATTAATAATCCCCTATGGAATTCATTTCCACTCAATAACCCCAGTACCATATGGAAAGATAAAAGAAAAATTACAGAATTTAAAATATAAGTTAGCTGATTGTTCTTTATTATTTTTTAACCTTTAAAGCACTTTGTAAGAACAGATATTTTGCTGTGACATTATTTAGATCCTTCCAAAAAAAAAAAGGTACAGGCAGTTTCTAGGCTGAATGGCTAATCTTGTGCATATAAAACAAATTCAAGTCTGGAATCATTTTTGTTGCTGTGGAACATAGTTCATACAAGCTCATATATAAATTCAGTATAGCATTGAACTGTTGGTGTGTGTTCATAGCATTCTGCAAGTTTACTACTTGCTTTTAGAAAACAACATTAAATAAGTAAATGAAAGCTGTATTCTTAAACAAGAGTAGTTTTATCATGTAGTGGGGTGGGGGGGTAGTTTTGCTTGCTATGGTGAATTTATGGTCTTTTAAGTATATATCTCTGTGTGTGTGTGTGTATCCCTAATTTAGAAAAATATTAGTAATATCAGGAGAGATTTTTGCACATAAGCTCTGTAAAAATAATTTGAAAGGCTGGCAAGATATATCTGTAACTTTTCCATCTCTGGATCCCTGAGAGCCACACAGAGGAGATGTATATGTAGATACAGTGAAGCTTGGTTTCCAGTATTTTTTAATTTTACTGTGTTTATGCTGCTCAATACATATTCTGTTTCAAATAGGCCTTTAGTTTACTTAGAATCACAAGAGTTGCAGTTAATACTCTTACAGTTTTTTTCTGATTCTAAATTAATAACAGCTGTAGTAAAATTTAAACATTTTAGAAGAGTATAGGGTATTCTCAAGAAATTGTATAAAAATGGTACTCTCAGATACAGTTTCAAGATTAGTTCAAATTACTTAATGTCAAATTCATGAATTTGTGGTAAGATTTTAAGCAGAGTACATTATAGCTACCACATTAATTAACAAGTCATCATTTGCTTACAGTTTTGCATTTCACTTCAGATATGATGGGGTTGACTCTTTTGGCAGAGTCCTAGGAAGATACGGTGTATCCAAACACTTTTTTTTTTTCCCCCTATTTTTTTAAGGACTTGGCTGTGTTACTGAGGCTCGATGAAAAAGAACTGCTTAAGCTCGTGGCATTACTAGAGAAGTACAAAGAGGAAAAATCCAGGACTGCTACAGTCCGATTTTCTGATGCTAAGGATGGTGTGTTACCCGTGAAAACATTCCTGGAATATTTAGAGTGTGAGAAAGATGCGGTCAACGTAAAGAAGATAAGTGAAGAGGAGTATGTGGCTTTAGGTGGGTGGAAAAATGAACTGCTCTGTGAATCCTGCCTCTTCTGGAGGAGAGCCTGGCAGGAGTTGATAGCATCACAGAGGTTCAGTATGTTTTAAAATTAAGCTAAGAAATTCATGTATATTTTTCAGTGAACAACGGATACTCTGGATATGTAGGCTCTATGTCATAAAAGTGTTACTGGCTAGTACATAGACTAAAGAGACAGTGTTAGACATGTAGCAGTTTGCCTTCTGCCTTAAAATCAAGCAAATTGAGCCATTAATTTCTTTTCTCTCATGCTGGTTTGCTTCTCTGGAGATCTAGATTGCAATTTAGGAAGAATGTTAGTCCAAATGGTAAGTAGCCATTGGTTAATGCGTTTTGCTTTTGTTTTACTAGGCAGTTTCTTTTTTTGGAAGTGTTTGCATGGAGAAAGCTCTACCGAGGACATGTGTCACACTCTGGAGTCAGCTGGACTGAGCCCTCAGCTGTTGTTGGTAAGCCACCTTCTTATCGCACCCTTCTCTTCCCTGCTCATGTCATCCAGAAGGGTCAGTCCTTTTTTTTTTTTTTTTTTTAACCATCGTCCAAAGCATATCATAGAACATAGATGAAAACCTTTCAACAGTGGTCAAAGAAATTTATAATCACCATATTTAATTGAGTAATATTATTTTATTTTTCTAATTCCCTGTAAATGGTAGCAGGCGTATTCCATGGTTGGCCTAAAATAAATTTTGAATCTGACAGGTATGCATGCATTTATAGTGGATTGTGGTCATCAGTGAAATTGATCATATTAGAAGTAAAAAAATCTTAGAGAACAAAATCAACTTCCTTTGGAGCAGTACAGAATTAAAATCAAACATTCCCAAACTTTGAGTATAGGTTAGGTTTTAGTCTCTGTGCTATAACAAATAGAAAACACAAGAATCATTCAGTAGAAAATGACAACTCTGAATGTTTGCCCTTGGGCACAGGATGCAGGGTGTGGTGGGGAGGGGTGACCTTGCCGTCCTCTCTCCTCTTTAACCCCTCACATGCAAACATAAACTCTCTTCCACATCCTCACTAACGTCGTACATATTGGCCATGATCTGGGCAATCTCCTTTAGGAGCTTGTTGACTGTGTTCATGTATGGTTTTAACTGAACATTTATATCCTTTAAAAACAGATTCCATTCTCTGTTACTTTGCAGTGTGTATGTCAGGAAGTAAGGCGGTTAAAGGTATGCATAGGTTGGTTGTACGCGGATGTTCATGAGTGGCTTTATTTGTAATAGCCCAAAACTGCAAACTACACAAATGTCGTTTGGTAGATGAATGGTTAAAAAAACTGGTAGTTCTTTACCGCGTACTTCTTTACCTTTTCCTCAACAATAAGACTAAACTGTTGATTCACATAATAACTTGAATGAACCACAAGGAAAATACGCTGAGTGGAAAAATGCCCATCTTGGAAAGACATGTGCTTGCATGGTTCCATTTTTGTGTAGCGGTCATGAAATAACACCGTTACAGAGATAGAGAAGAGGTTAGTGTTGGCGAGGGGTGAGGGATGAGTGCGGGGAGGGATGGGTGTGGCTGAAAAAGGTCCACACAGAGGAGTCTCTTGCTGACGTATAGTTGAGTGCTTGACCATGGTGATGTTTTTGAAAAGCTACACATTTGATAGAATTGCATGTACACACATATGGGTGTATGCATTATTGGTGAAATTTGAATAAGCTTTGGATTTTGCCAATGTTAACTTCTTGGTTATGATATTGTGTAAGATGCTACCATGAGGGGAGGCTATGGGAAGGGTGCATGGGATTTCGTTGTGCTTTATTTTTTTTCCCCCTAGTGAATCTATAACTATTTTAAAGTAAAAATTTAAAAAGAGAGCGGATAAGTATTATCCAAATTTGAGATGCTTAAATAAGATGAGTACAGAATACTTCTTATTTTTAAATTGTGTTTAATCAGCATCAAAATGTCTGCATTAAATCCGGAGTTCAAGAAACATTAGAAGAAAATGAACCTCAGATCTTACCTCAAGCCATATATAAAGATTAACTCAAAATGGAAAATAAATATAAGTCATAAGACTACAGAACTTACAGAAGAAAATAAGGAGAAAGCTTGGTTCGGGCAAAGATTTCGTAGGGCACAGAAAGTGCGAACAGAAAAACATATTGATCAATTGCACTTCATCAAAATTCAGAACTTCTGTGTTTTAGAACTGTTAAGAAACTGAAAGGCAAACCTTCCTTTTAAAACTTATATTTGATAAATGAATTGAATCCACATTAAGAAAGAATTCATACGACTCAATAAGACGACAAAGAATACAATAAGGAAAGTGGAAGATCTGAACTGTCACGTCACCAAAAAATATACTTACCCGTGGCAAATGCTCACGTGAAAAGTGGTCAGCATCTTTTACTGTTGGGGAAATGCCAGATAAAACCACAGGAGTCTCTTTCGCAAGAGGATGACCGAAACGAAGATGACTGATGGCACTAAGTGTTGATGAAGATGTGGAACAATCAGAACTCTCAGCGTGGCTAGTGGAAATGCCAACAAATACAACAACTTTGGAAAACTGTCCAAAAGTTTCTTATACTGTTGAACAGCAATTTACCATAAAATCCAGCAGTCTCACTCCTAGGTATTTATCTAAGAGGAATGAAAACATATGTTCATATAGATTTGAAATAAAATGTTAGCAGCATCTTTATTCAGAATAGTCCAAAGTACAAACAACCCAGATATCCACCGGCTGATAAGTGGTAAGTTATGGTACGTCCATACAGTGGGAAAAAAGTTAAGAAGAGATACACAGTACAACTGTGTAATAAATAAAGAAATGAATCTCAAAAGCATTATACTAAGTGGAAAGATCCAGAAACAAGACTGCCTACTGTATGATTTTAATTATATGAAATAGAGTGACAGAGCAGAGGGTGTTTGCTAGAGGATGAAGGTGGGCATTGGAGATTGCGCACAGGAAGCACAAGGGAACTTTGGGGGATGAAGATGTGCTTTACTATGTTTATGGTGTTGGCCACCCAAACTGAAATTAATGAACTTTATTGTAAATATGAATATATCATAATGTAATAAAGTGTTCTCTAGAAAATCTGACTATTTTAAATCCATAAAGCTGTGGTCTATAAGTATATTTATTATTGTGCTATAGAACTTATAAAATAGGTTGTAATTTTAAGTTCTTTTTAAAAATCATCTAACTCTGAGAGACTGTATTTCACTTATTCCAAATGATTGGTTGCTTTTCCTTTGTTTTCCTCAGATGAGTATTTTATAGTTAGATTTTTAAAATATTCTTTCAATAGCTGAATGCTTTCAAGCAGTCATGTAAATTTTTAAAATCCTACCATCGAGTACAGAGAAATAAGGCATTTTCACTGAAAGTGTGTAATTAATAGTTACGAATGGGAAGGGAGGGGAAACTTCTTCAAAAAACCCCAAAAAACAAAGCCCAAGAATTAAAGTAAGAAATTGAATGTACAATAAGACCGGCTTGTAAAAAAGTCTGCTTGGTCATTGTGGTCACATTGATCAGAGGAAATAGCTAACACTTTCAGCCTGTGAATAAGCCTCCTGGCCTTAGGAAGATCAAGTGCAGGGGTTTCGTGTACCCGTGTAGTAAGTGTGCATCTTGCTTACAGCCTGCTCATTCCCGAAGCAGTTAGTGCCAGGGCCAAAATACTAACAAGTGACATTTTTCTAAGTTACTAACTTACATTTTTTTTTAAAAAAAGAATAAATGTCTATTGTATTACATTAAAAGAGTGATAGACTTTTAGGAGTTAGGCATCTAAAAGTCATGAATAAAAGGTGTTAGGTCTTTCAACAAAATATATAAAATATATTATTGGTGTTATAAAGGCATTTGAAATGCTAACTCTTTTTTCCTGAACTATTTTATATGGTAATTTTATTGGAATTATGTTTATAAAGAAATTTGCTACTTATAATCTAGGTTTTGTGTGTTTGTGTCTATTTTTTTTTAGGTTGTGTGTATTGTTAAATTTGGAAATACTTCTAATGTATAATGCCTACCAATTTTTCTATAAAACTTACACTTGATTTAGTCAGTATTTTACTACATTAGCATAATTCACGACAACAGCCTGATAGTTTTTTTAGATGTTTAAATGTTTAAAACTATAATTTAATGTTTAAAACTGTAATTACTCTCACTGGAATTTTATCAAGTTTTAATTCTGTATACTAAAACAGACCTAATTTTTAGGAAAGACTAGAAAATAAGGCTCATTCAAAAAACTGACAAAGTAAGTTTCTTTTAAGTAGAGACAGGACTAACAGATGGCTTCTTCATGTTCTATCTGCCAGCATTTCTGCTGAGGGAAGGATTAAAACATCTGGGATGTTAATATTACAGGAGGAGGATACTTAGCAAAAAGTAAAGTTCATTAGGCATTAGACGCTTCTACCCAGAACCCGTGGGATTTTTCTCTCTCATTGTTAGGTACAGGTTTTTACCAAGTCTTAGATACTGCTCGACTTAGAAAAGAGGAATTAACCAACTTTCCTCTCAAGGTTTCTCTTAATAAAAATCTAATACTCAGATACCATCTGGTAATATGTCAGTATGTGACATTTATATGTGAAACAACATAGTTTACATTTATAATATGAATATCCACATTATGAATAATATGTGACATTCTTTGCTGTGATGTATTGAAAGGATATTTTGTATTTACTAGTTGTAGAGATTGTTATCTTCAGTATACTTTTCTTTCTGTTATGTGTGTCTATGTGTATATGTGGTATCTTAGCTCTGTATTCTCCTCTTTGATTATTTTTCTCCTTTTACCTTAATTTTTCCTAAAAATTAAAAAAATCTATTGCTTATGAGTGATTCTAAATTATGTCATCTTGTTCCTATAGTTCCCGTGGCAGTCTGTATTGCATTCTGACTTTTTACATGCTAACTAAAACATAACTGATTGGATTTTTAAAGTTAATAAAAAACAAGAGGAATACCCGCTGGGTTATAAGCAAAGATTACCTTGCTGCATGAGAGTTAGAACAGGGCTGACCTAGAGAGAGATAGAAGGAAAGTTAAATAGAACAGGGTTTTTTGTTTTAGAATTTGCTAAATAAGGGTGGTGATGGGGGGAATGGTTAGTTGGAGAGAAAAATAAAAGAGTTCATAGTATGACGGGGAATTCAGGCCATGGCATTCAATTCGTCTAACTCTTTGGGTTGTCCATCTTTTTGAGCATTTTGAAACTTTGTTGCTGCTGGAAAGATGAATCAAGCTTTGAAAGACACTAAACCCATAAGTGTGTTTAGAAACCTGGAGTGCTGGTAAAATACCCCTGGGCATATATTTTTTGCCTAAAATTAATCAGAGTGAGCCCAAAAGATAAGTCCTCCTGCTCCCCCTCATTTCCTTTTGGCTTGCTTTCATAGCACATATGTGCCCAAAACACTGAGAGTAATTTCCAGTTGATTCTGGAGTGTCTTTGTTGCCTATCCAGGCAACTCATTTCTGTAGCCTGCCTGTAAGTAGCAATGTTGTGTGAGGTAGAGGGAATAGCCTTGATAAGTGGATAGAGTCAGTCAAAACTTGGTGGACTATACAGGGTGTTTGTGTGGCAGGTGGAAAGCACATGGTATAACATGAGCCCAGTTTTATAAAAGCCCCATGTCGCTCCATAATGCTGTCTGTATAGCTGCACTTAGGAAGCTGCCAGAGGCTTGGCGCCTAGTCTGCCCTCGGTAGCCACCAGCCTTTGTTGTTGCTAGCGTTGTCATTCTCTTAGGAATGTGCAGGCAAATATGAAAGCACATACGTGGTTGTAGAAAAAAAAATAGGTTTCTGGATAGGATGAGGTAGAAAGGAGGCTGACATAGGGAGAGAGGTAAGAGGGTTAAAAAGAAAAGGGAGAAATAAACTCCTTTTAAAAGCATGTGTGTGTATTGTTTGTACAAATTATATGTACAGTCTACACACATGTACAGTTTTTTAAAGAGAAAAAAACACGCATATTAGGATCAGGCAGATCTTGGTTGAGACTTCAGTCCTGACTCACTAGCTCTATGGTGCTGGGTAAATTACTTCTTTTCATCATTTGTAAAATCTGGGAGACCGTGCCTGCCACGGGATTGTCGGAATTGGACAGGGTGATGCCCGGCAAGTACTTCCGTCTCCTGGCCCTTTGGTTGTTCTCCCAGTTTCCTTCACACATGACTTCAACTTCCTACTCTTCTTCACTTTTGAAAAGTATTTATACTACTATATTTAAACTGGTAGTCAACCTTTTATTTTCAAGCGTTTGTTTTTGACTTCAACGTGAAGGTCCCGCAGAGTTAACGCTAACCCAGGCCTTTCGCAAACACCAGTACTGACAGGTGCGGTGCCATGCCATTGAACTTCTCATTATCCCAGAATTATCTGTGTGCAAATTTTGTACATCTTAAAATATTTCAGTTCTAAGTAGATAGGCTGGTTCGTAGGCATCTTAAAAGTCACTTATGTTGACTTAAATGTTTTTGCTTATAAAATCTGTTTCTCTTGACTTATTAGTGATTTAAAAACTAGAATCCGATAGCTTTACTTATCTGTTCAGCACTGCCAAGTTCACAGTACCTTGTGGCCAGTGTGGGGTGAGGTCCACAGCTCCGCGTCCTTCCTTTCCTCCTGGCAGCTGAGCGCCTTCTTGCCAGTCTACGGAGATCTACGCTAACTCGGTAGTAGTAACCTTTCTGGTACTTTGCTCCCTAATCAAGGCTCAGCCTGGAAAGTGGAGCTTAATTAACCCAAAGAAGAGACGGAAACGGTGAAAGTTACAGATCTGACAGATACGAAGAATCTCTTCAGTGGACAGGGTACCTTGTTGTGTCTCTCATGAGAGGCGATGTAATGAGCAGCCCCTCATTTCTCACCCTGAAGGACTGAATCACTCGTATACACGTCTATGCTCTCTTGAAAAGTGCCACATTTTGGTTTTTTTATTACTGAAAATTATTTAAATTTGATTTCAGTCTCTGCTCCTGAGTGTGTGGCTTTCTAAGGAAAAAGATATTTTGGATAAACCGCAGTCTGTGTGCTGTCTCCATACGATGCTGTCCCTTCTGAGCAAGATGAAAGGTAAAAGGCTGGGGGCTGCTGCAGTTGCATGGGCCTTGAGACGCTGCTGCTCTTGGAAATGACCTGAGCTGAAAGCAGATGCTTAACCCACTGAGCCACCCAGGGGCCCCATGGATTTAATTTCTGATTCAGAAATTTACCAATCTATCACAGGGGAATTCATTTTCAACATTATGTTTAATGTTAAAGGTCGAACAGAAAGAATCAACAAGCTCAGGCTTTCTTTTAACTTTCTCTTTTTGCCCATAGTGGCCATCGATGAGACCTGGGATTCCCAGTCTGTGTCCCCATGGTGGCAGCAGATGCGCACGGCTTGTATTCAGTCTGAGAACAACGGAGCTGCTCTGTTGTCTGCACACGTTGGGCATTCCATTGCTGCACAGATCTCAAACAGTATGACTGAGAAAAAAGTAAGTCGGCGGGTGGGGGGTGTACCTGGTCTTGGAAAGGTTGGATCTCTGCCTGTCCAGTCTGCTTAGGGGCTGCTTGTCCCTGTCTGGACTACAGTGTCTTTGATGTTATGGAACATCTAGAGTTTGAAATATGTGTCCAGCAGATTCTCATTTGTCTTTCTGGGAGGGAGGGGTGCTGCCCTTAACTTGTTTGTTCAGATGACATGCATACTGAATTTTGCCGTCACCTCGTACTTTCACCTTGAGGGGAAAAGTATGGCAATCAGAGGGCAGAGGTCTGGCTCTCGGCCAGCAGCTGGTGATGTGTGATGAGTCCCTTAAACATGAGTCTCCTGCTTCAGGTTCTTCATCTAAAGGAGGTCAGGGTTAGACTGCGTTATGTCTGAGGTTCGTTATAGCTCTGGAGTTCTACAATTGTATTTATTACCCTCCCCCTTTTTATAAACAGAAGTTGTTTTGGCATGGGGTGTTGAATGACTTGAATAAAAGTTTCCTATTGACCTTTTGCTTTGTGGTTTTTTCCTTGTCTTTTTAAAGACTCAGATTTATTTTTTTAAAAAAACAAACATCTCTTATATCTCATGGTAGATCAAATTTTTTCTGGGGAACGTTGATTTAGTTGGATGAGTCAGTTAAATAGGCCTGTAGCGATTCACTTAACATTGTCAGTCTCAGTAGTTCATACGCTAAATTTAATGTTACTGGCCTAAGATGTTTATGATAATGGAGAGAGAAGGAATTTGAGACTCATATTGTGTGTCGGAGAGTGCCCTCTGAAGAGTGAGCACTATCCTGGTACTAACAGAAAAGACCATGGACTTTGTTGGGTATGGCCCTGCGAACTCGTTAGTGCCCATTGCATGAATCAAGGGCTTTCCCGGGGGTCTTACTGTGAATGTCTAGACTCTGTCACTGTTGCCCCCGAGTCTCCAGTCTCCTCCTGTCACTCATGTTCCATCCAGCCAAGTGGTAATACTCGTGAGCCAGCATCTGCGTGTTGCTTCGTGACGTATCCTGTCATCAGCTTTCAGGTTCAAAGCTCATTCAAGTGCGTGCTGATCCAGAGTCTTTGCCAGAGTATCACCAGGGCATTTTTTTTGTTAGTTTTCCCAAACAGTGTCGGGTGCTGATTCTGAGGCCCTCACCGATTCCTGGGAGGCCCTTTCTCTTGACATGGAATACTGGAAGCTCCTGCTGAAACAGCTGGAGGACTGCCTCATCCTTCAGACTCTGCTTCACAGCAAAGCAAACACGCCAGCCTCCGAAGTGTCGTCGCTGCAGGCTGAGCCACTCCCGAGGCTGTCTGTCAAAAAGTTACTGGAAGGGGGAAAAGGTAAGCTGGGGTTGATGGGACATTGCACCTACAGATCTGTGTGTTTATGGTGTGGACGTTTCTGGGGCTTTTTATAGAAATGATTGCAAGGATAGGGAAAGACAAGTACATTTAGATTTAAAAAATTAAAAATAACCTGCCATGTATTTCTTCTCAGTTAATCTCCTCAAAGTCTGATTCGGTCAGTTCCCTGCTCAGGAATCCCCATTCCTTCCCCTGCCTTAGAGAATTAACCACAGTTCTCAAGAGTGCTCAGAGGACCTCGAGAGCCCACCCTTTTCCAACTTCATGTCTCTGTGAGGCTGGCTTTTCCTCCTGCACTTCAGCCAGAGCAACAGATCCTAATAGATGGCGTGCAGAAGCTGATCGGAGAATCCAGATGTAAGCTAGACAGTGGAAGAGGCTTTGCAAAGGTTGTAGTGTTGCTCCTCTCCCAAAATGTCTTTTCTTGCTTTGGGAACTATATTTTCATAAAATGTTATTAACATGTAATAGGTTTATTACTTATATTTAAAAATGAATTAATAAAAGTATTTTAGAATTTTCTCAATTTTAATTTCTAAGACCAGGAATTTGAATCAATATAACCCATAAGCTAAGGTTTGGGATTGTCAGTAATTTTTAAGAGTTTAAGGAGATTCTGAGACTTAAGAAATTCAAGAACTTCTGGAACAAATAGAAACTGGTTCTCTAAGAACCTTGGGTTTGAATCTAACCCGTTTTTCCATTTCTTGCTTGCTGATTGTGGCTCAAATGAAGCATCTGTGTGATTCCCCAGCCCTGGGTCTGAGCCTGTCCCCTTCCCTCTCCCGACCTGTCCCAATCTGGATTCTAAATTGTACTTAGTCCTCTTTCAAGACCCTGCTCAAATGCTTACTCCTCTAAGAAACTGCTCATGGTCTACTAGCTACCAATTTTCTCTCTTCCTCCTGATTTCCACAGGACCTTATACCTCTTTTGTGATTTATCACTTTCTACTATTCTAGAGCCATTGGGTTCTTGTGCTTACATCCTGCAGGACCAGAAGCATTGTAAATTTTTAGTTGTCTTGGTGTACTCTCTTTTTACCAGCAGCTCTATCAGGCATTTGATCCTGGAATGTCAGTATTCCTGGATTTGTAAATACCCATGTGTTTATAGATTTCGATTTAGTTAACCTGTCTTCTTATCCTTTATAAGATTTGTAAACTTCAGCCTGAGAGGCAAGGCCTTAGCTTTGGCACACAATTAGTGGCCTCCACAGCTGCTCTTAAGGAACATAGACTGTGGGTGCCGTCCTGACGCTTGCCGTCTGCCTTGTCCCGGTTTGCCAGCATAACCCAGAAGGAGCTTATACACTTGTTTGGAGTTCTGGTTTTGTGACTGCCACACAGGGGACCCCTCCAGATCGCCTGACTCTGGTGGCCAATGGAGCTTATGCTTGTAGTCCCACAGGACTGTATATATTTGCTTACTTTTAAAAGCTAATGCCTGACAGGGTACCTGGCAGTGCAGTTGGTTCAGCATCTGACCCTTGGTTTCAGCTCAGGTTGTGATCTCAGGATCATAAGATTGAGCCCCACTTTGGGCTCTGTGCTCAGTGTAGAGTCTGCTTGAGATTCTCTCTCCCTCTCCCCCTGCCCTTCTCACTTGTGCTCGTGTGCTCTCTCTCACTCTCAAGTAAATAAGTTAAAAAAAAACCAAAAAATCTGATGCTTGAGGTTCTGGCTTTTAGTCAGCCTGAATGTAGGTGTGAAGATCCTCTCTTTTGGGACACTGGCTGGTCTTGGCACATCCTCAGCTACTGTGAACTGTTAAATATCTACTAGGCTGCTTGGCTAAGCACAGAGGTTTGAGAGACAATCAAGAACTGAGACACGATTGAGCAAGGCCATTCCTTTAAGACTGGAAGAGGTCGTTCCATCTACTGTGTAGAAACCAACACAAAGACTCATGCAAAAGGAAGAAATAGAGAAATATGTTCCAAGTGCAAGAACAGGATAAAACTTCAGGGTGGGGAGAAACCTTAATCAAATGGCGAGAAGTCATTTACCTGATAAAAAGTCCAAAGTTATAGTCATAAAATTGCTAACCAAAGTGGGGAGAAGAATGGATGAATACAGTGATAACTTCAAGGAGATGGAAAATAAGTAGACATCACAGAGCTGAAGAATACAATAACCGAACTCAGTATATGCTAGAGGGTTTCAGCCGCAGACTAGGTGAAGCAGAAGAAAGGATCAGTGAACCCAAAGACAGGGCAGTAGAACTCGCCCAATCAGACAGTTACAGATATTGTAACAATAGATAAGTTGTTATTTCTAAGCATGTGGTAATCACAAAGCAAAAACCTGTAATAAATACACAAAAGATAAAGAGAAAGGGCTATAAGCAAACCACCAAAGTAAGTTATCAAACCACGGAGGAAGAGAGCAAGAAAAGAATAAAGGAACAGAGGAACTATTAAAGCAGACAGAGAACAACATGGCAACAAGCAACATCTACCAGGAATTACTTTAATTATAAATGTGCTAAATTCTCCAATCAAAAGACAAAAGGTGGCTGGATGAGTAAAAAAAACAAAACCCATATATATGCCACCTCGACACTGGACACACACAGGCTGAAAGTGAAGGGATGAGAAGAGACACTCCATGCAAATGCAAATGGAAACCCCCCCCTTTTTTTTTAAGTTTAAATAAGTTGTTTTTTTAAAAAAAGGCTTGCAAAAAAGTTTAAGTTGTAAACTCTACACTCCTTGCTGCCACCTGCTGATAGGGTAGGACCGTCTTTGTGATATTAACCTGAGCAGTGTGAGCAAGGGCTTGATTTTGGAATGGAAACTACCAAATGACCTGGAAGTCAAACATGAGAAATTGGAATACCCAGCACATTGCTGTCCTTTATTATCACCGATAAGTGTGATTTTACTGTGAAGCTTTCTTTTTTTTGTGGAAAGGTTTATATTTGATCAAACTGGGAAGAAGAAGTTTTGGTAATTAGAGAACAATGTATCATTTGTTTTAGGTAAGAAACAGGACTCTTTGTCTTGAGTGTTTTCCAGTTTCCATGTAGAATTTTTTGGCCTATGTCAGTGACTGAAACATGGGAAAACATCATGTTTCTTAGAGGTAACTAATTTTTGCCTATAAGTACTCCATGTAGGCAAGTTATTTGGCTATTAAAAGTAACATGTTGCCTAAACAGGTATCATGCTAATCAGTCTGTTTCACTTGTATATAAATGAAAGTGGTTTAAAGGCACCTGGGGGCTTAGTCAGTTAAGTGTCTGCCTTCGGGTCAGGTCATCCCAGGGTTCTGGGATCGAGCCACTTGTTGGGTTCCCTGCTCAGTGGGGCATCTGCTTCTCCCTTTGCCCTTCCCCCTGCTTGTGTTCTCTCTCCATCTCTCTCTCTCTCTCTCTCTCTCAAATAAAACCTTCTTTAAAAAAAAATGATAGGGGATGCCTGGGTGGCTCAGTTGGTTAAGCAGCTGCCTTTGGCTCAGGTCATGATCCCAGCATCCTGGGATCGAGTCCCACATCGGGCTCCTTGCTTGGCAGGGAGCCTGCTTCTCCCTCTGCCTCTGCCTGCCACTCTGTCTGCCTGTGCTCACTCTCTCTCCCTCTCTCTCTCTGATAAATAAATAAAATCTTTAAAAAAAAAAAATGATAGGGGCACCTGGGTGTCTGAGTGGGTTAAAGCCTCTGCCTTCAGCTCGGGTCATGATCCCAGGGTGCTGGGATCGAGCCCCGCATCAGGCTGTCTGCTCAGCGGGGAACCTGCTTCCCCCTCTCTCTCTGCCTCCTCTCTGCCTACTTGTGATCTCTGTCTGTCAAATAAATAAATAAAATCTTTTAAAAAAATGATAATGTTTTGAAGATTTATTCATCCCTTCCTCTGTGTCTGGTGAAGTATATTTTGAATTTGTGGACATAGAAGCTACATGGTATACAGACAAGTGTATGCATTTATGTTTAATATATATTGGAGTATATATATATATTAGGTTATTATATAATTATATATATAATATATATATTAGAGCATAGAGATGCCCTTAGCCATCAGATATTGCACTTGGCCTTGCCGTCTTTGCTGAACACTGTGAATTTTCATTTTCTTATCTCCACATTATAGGTGGCATTGCAGACAGTGTAGCCAAGTGGATATTTAAACAGGAATTCAGCCCTGAAGTACTAAAACTGGCTAGTAAGGAAAGAGATGCAGAAAACCCAGATGAACCCAAAGAAGGCATTAACAGAGGTTTACTTGAAGCATCAGAGGTGGAGATGACCCTAGGAGCCATACCAGGTAATCCATAAATATGAAGAAATATGTGGCCCAGAGTGGAGGGGATGTGGCTGAGTCTTTGTTAAGGAAAGAATAATAAATCTGTCCTCTCTTGTGGCTTTCAGACTTGTTGCATTTAGCCTATAAGCAGTTTCCATGCAGCCTTGAGCTGGACGTGCTGCACGCCCACTGCTGTTGGGAGTACGTCGTTCAGTGGAATAAAGACCCAGAGGTAAGGTTCTCGCCACTTCTTTCCTGTTAATTCTGTCGTTGTGCTCATGCTGTACATATGTGGGACTGTTTAGGTCAGTGACGTACTGTAAACACTGGACTTTTCCCGCTTGGGATGCCGCTGTACTAGGAGCGGTGCTAGGTCTTTTTTCATGCATTATCTCTCAGTCCTCACAGAGAACCTGTGACATGTGGACATTGTCAGTACCCCCCTCTGGAGAAGAGAAACCAGGCCCAGAGAAGTTCGGTTCCATGCCCCAGGGCACACTGCTGAGTCGTTCCGGGCCAGGATTTCCACCTAGGTTTCTTTGTGTTTAGAGCTGGCGTGTTTTGCCCCCGCTCCTAGTTAGGTTGTGATACGTATATTTTTTATTTCCTTTTGAATTCCTGTATGAGACGGCACGAACTTACTAGAAACTTTGTAATATCGTAGTCATCCTGATAAAGCCAGGGTGAAGATCCGGACGCTGACCTAGTGTCTGCTTGTTTAGATATCCCTGCGTTTGTCCATCACTTCTCTTATGTTCGTCTCCGGAACACCGAGAAAGCCGCACTATGTACAAGGCTGACCCTAGTCCAGGGTTAGCCTAACTGCCCTTTTAGCTCTCTGCTGGGGCATCGTTTTCTGCCACTTTCTCTCGCAGAACAACCATAGTCGGGAAGCAGGATTGGCCCTGAGCTGAGGGGCTGGATTTGGGTCCCAGCTGAATTTCTGACAAGTGTCTGGGTTTGGGCCAGTCACTGAATCTCTGAACCTGTTTGTTTCTCCCTCTACCTTTTTTTTAATGAAGGTGCCAATCCTTCAGGATTGATGCCTGGATTAAGTAAGATGTGAAAACATAGGATGGGTATTGCCCTTTGCCAATAAGTCCGTCCCTCAGGTCTCCCTAGTCAGTGCCCTGGTAAATTATCCCTCTCCAAGCCAAATATTTTATGGTCCTTATGTCAGGTTGCACTTTTGAAGAAAAAAATCTCACTGATGAACTAACGCACACTAATACATGAATTAATGATACTCTTCCTCCCCCAAAAGTGTTGTCTTTAATACGTAATCACTTACATATTAAAAGGTTTTTTTAAAAAGTGCTTTAAACAAAGGAATGGCCCTTGATCAATTAAATCTTGACCAAAAAGTGATTTTAGCACAGGGGACCCTGTTGATGGTCCCTAAGTCACCCTCTTCAGTGGCCTGCTCTATGATCTGAGTGGCCATTGTGTTTGGGCTCTCTCCTTCAATGGAAAATTTTTCCTACAGGAAAAAGGAATGTTACAATTATAATAAGGACATAATAGTTTGTAAAAATCTGAATAGATTAATTCCAGATTCAGCTCTAACAGTGATACATAAGGAGAAAATTCTGTTTTACATCATTCATTATAAACTGAAGGCGGCTTGGGACACAGCTGAGGTCGAGCCTCATTGCCCCTAGTCACCAGCTGTATGATCTCTGGGAACATTTCTCAACCCTTTGTTCTTGATTTTTTTACTGAAAGTAAATGAGGACTGTAGCTATCTTGAAGGGGTGTTGCAATTTCTAGAGAAAATGCATGCGTAGTGCCTGACATCTTGACTAGTGCTATCATGGTCTATTTAAATTGTTTACATTTCAAATAAATGACCATTTTTCTTGTTTTTTTTTTTTCTTATTAAATAATTCTCCTTTCCCCATCCAATCCCTACCCCAGTTCTACCATTTTATACATGAGCTTCATCAGGATCAAGACAATTGAAATTATTTGTGGGAAATCACTAACACTAGTATGTGTTATCAAAGGTGATAAGTTTAGTGTTTGTAGCTATAATATTATTTAGCCAAGATCTGGGTAATGTCATCAGTTTTACATGCTGCATATGAGTGTTAATATGTCAGACCTCGATTAGAAGGAATTGAATTGCAGACATGTTTCCCTTCACTGCTTTAGTTTTCCTCGTTGGCATGTTATCACTAACCAGCTGTATAATTTACTTACCATATTTAGCTTGCTTGCTTGAATGTAACCTCAGTGAGAGCAAGGATTTGGGTCTCTTTGTTCATTACAGTGTCTCTGGTGCATAGTAATGCCTTAATAAATAATTGTTGAATAATGAAGAATGATATTTGCAAAGAAGTAAACCCACCTCTGTGTGAAATTCAAGTATTTATTAGAGAAAATACTGCTGTCATGTCCAGGCCATAGTGAATATTGATTCCAGATGTCAGCATATATGACCTGGTATCCATCATCATGTAGGTAACGTGAATTTAAGCGAGACCATTGACACTGTCCTATGAAAAATTTTCTTTTACCTAATACATCTGTGTTCTTATCACCACATTCTTGGGTAGCTTTATGTAGAAATTTAAGAAGTTACCATTGGTGTTTGAAACATCTGTTAAATGATACCTCTCTTTTTTTTCCTCTCTCTCTTTTTTCCTCCCTGTATGTAAGGAAGCACGTTTTTTTGTTAGGTCAATAGAACACTTGAAGCACATTCTTAATGCGCATGTTCAGAATGGTAAGTAAATAAGCATTAAAAACGTAACTGGTGGATTCAAAAGAGGCAGGGATCATTAAGTTCACATTCTGTTCATTTTTTATTTGATGGCTCTGCCTCCTACCTAACACGTGACTGTGTACGTGTTTGTGTATCATGATGGGCGAAGTCCTGGTCTTTGAACTGCTTAGGAAAATGCTGTTTGGGAGGGGATAACGGGGGAGAAGTAAGGAGAATATTAGACATAAAACACTGATTTTCTTTTTAGATCACAGGTAGATAAGAAAAGAGGGATGGACTTCTCAGAAAGGGCTGAAGTTGCTAATGAAAAAGTTAGGTAGCCAAGAGCCTAAGGCTATCATATGGTACAAATTGCTTTGTGTTTCTTTTTTTTGTGTGTGATGTTATTTATTTATTTGACAGAGAGCGAGGGAGGGAATATAAACAGGGGGAGTGGGAGAGGGAGAAGCAGGCTTCCTGCTGAGCAGGGAGCCCGATGCGGGGCTTGATCCCCAGACCCTGGGAACATGACCCAAACCAGAGGCAGACGCTTAACCACCTGAGCCACCCAGGCGGCCCCCACCGCCGTGCTTCTTTTAATAAATGTGACTGTTCTCCATTGGCTGCTGTAACATGGGGACTGCCGATGTCTCCTTGACAAAATGTCACAAATTGTGGTGGAAAAATTATAAACAGGCTACTGGTTCCACTAAATTAGTGGGTTTCCCTGGAAGAAGTAATGGAGGGCTCGGCACGAGGCTAGTTATTTTACTAAGTGGTGAAACTAGGTGTTGAGCCACGTAAGAGGGAGGCATCAACTTGGTGTCCATGTGATGAATTTTAGGGAAACTCCTTATTCCTCACCATACTGCCTCCTCGCAGGTGGTATGATATCCAATTGGAGAAATTCTAAAATGTCTCATTTTCTGTGAAGAAAACATGAAAATTTTTTTCATCTCTTACATCTTACCTTCTTCCTGGGAGGAAAAAGAAGATGGAAAGTGACTCATTTGGAAAATAGGGTCTCTAGAGAATTCTACCCTTAATTGATAAAATTAAGTCACTGCTAACTTCAGGCTTGTATTTAAGAACTTAGCTGTTTGTCCAGTGGGTCTCCTGGCTTGTCCACAGCCCCTGAGGCCCTCAGCCCCAGTTACGGAAGCAGCCGCCTGCGGATAATGACCGCAGGGGAGATGGCATGCTGAACCTAATTCACAACAGTTTCAGAAATTTTGATGCCATGGTTTATTGAATATGGAAGTATATAGCCCAGATTTCTTGTGTGGTTGCTTTTGTGTTTTATTTTTTAATACTTCCTCATATGTCACTTTATTTGGTGGTTACATGTGAAAAAAAAAATGACTTTTGGACATTGAGCTGTTTCTCTTTCTTGGCTGTTTTGAATAAAGCTATTCTCGACACTCTGATACACATCTTTGTGTTTATGCAGTGGCATTGCTGGGTCGTAGGGTGGACACACAGTTAGCTTTAGCAGAAATGGCCAGTTTTCCAAGCGGTTTTGCCACTTTCTGATGCGCCCCCAGCAATCTATGAGTGTTCCAGTGGTTTCTTTATCTTCCCCAACACTTGGTTCGGTCATTAAAAAAAAAAAAACCCTTGTGTTGGTTGGTTGATATCTGTGATTTTAATGTGTATCTCATAACTAAAGATATGGATCTTTTCTTACACTTAGTGGCCATTTGGATACCCTCTTACACAGCTCAGTTCTGATTATCATTGAGGATAAAGGTTTTTCTTACTTTTACAAATATTGTAATGTGAGATGTCAGAAATGATATCTAAATAAATAGCCCATATAGCTTTATAAGCTTAAGGAAGACAGTAATTTGTTAAGCATGATAAAAGAAAAAACAGATAAACCTTCTACTTACTACTTTACTCACTCTCTAGGCATTGCTCTCATGATGTGGAATACATTCTTGGTGAAAAGGTTTTCTGCTGCTACGTACTTGATGGATAAGGTAAGGTAACTTTAAATTTCATATACTTGTTTCTTTCCTTAATTGATTGATATTAGAAAGTTTATTTACATTGGGCCTTGTTAGACTATTTTTTATTTGAGATTACATTTTACTAATGCTCCGTTAACTGTAATGCCCAGTACTGGCATTTTGAGGACCTGGAAAAGAACCTCCCAGATCCTTGAGAGTACTTTCCTTTAAAAGCCTCTTAACCAAAGAGAGTGAGACTTGTGCTTGACTGAGGAAAAGATTTGTACCTTGTTTTAAATTAAAATGTACAAATGTATAGTTAACTCATCCCTCTTTGGATGTAGGACAAGGTATTTTCTTTGGGGTCGACTGCCTCCCTGCTTTGGTTTTCCTACAGAAAATTCACCCCTCTTGCCTTGCGTGATTTCTAAATTCCTTTTCTTTTTAAAGTGGTGATGCAGTCTGAGTGCAAAATATTCAGATTTTAAAATTTACGCCCTCTTCTTTGTAGTCGCTTCCTCTGCATCTTTTCCAGTAGAGCCGGGAGTCGGCTACTCTGCACAGCTTTTTAAAGCACTCAACCTGGTATTCGTATATCCACCCCCTTTTTTTCCTCACTCATATTTTATCAGTTACTTAATTAAGTGACAGAAATACATGATTACCTATTACAACCAGCCAAAGTAGTTTTAGGAACAAACAGTGCTCAGGGGACAGGACTCAGCGGGCGGAGACTAGCCGCCGCCCCCCAGCTGGGCACCCAGGGCCCTGAGCAATGTGTCCCCAGGCCTGGCAAGAGTATAGCTTCACCTGGCATCAGGTGAGTGGATGTCAGGAGAGGGACAGCATGTAAGGACAGCACGTTCTTGCAGACGTACACGGACAGACATTCAGCCGTGAGCGTGACATTCAGACCCACTTGGGGCCACAGCTCCACTACAAATGCTTTCTTGGCTGTTCCTGGTAACAGTTTTCTAGTTCAACCTGATGTTCCCCACGTGCTCACCTTCCTGGCCTGCTTCAGTGTTTGTTTTCCAGCTCGTTCCTTTTGGCCTTTCTGGTACTGCTCTGTTCCCTTCCACCTCTGGCTGGGGACTTCTGGGAGAGCAGTAGCGCGAAGCCTTTCACGTGTCTGTCACTGTGGGGTTTTGTAGTGTTCGTACATCAACGGCCACACAGGACTCTCACAACCCGGACTTGAATTTAAACAGGGCTGAATTAGGAGGTAGAGAGTTTTGATGATTCATTCGATAAATACTTAACTACAAGTATCTCTTGTGTACCAAGGGCTGTGCTAGGTGCTGTGCTTACAGATTTCAAAGTCCCAGCCCCTGCCCTCCAGGGACTCCCAGTCTCAAAGGTGTACAGGGTGCTTTGGGGACTGAGAAGAGGAAGGAAATAACCAGGTCAAGGGAAGGCTTCTGGGCTGAGTTGTGGAGGAGGAGTGAGCAGGGAGCAGGGGTGAGACGGAAACGTATTCCTGCAGAATCCGTGTTTGACTAGAGCTGGGAGGAGTTTCGGGCGCTGGAAGCACGCACCGGGGGAAGGAGTGGAAACCAGGCATGAAGTCTTTCCTGCGTGGGCTGTGGGTCTGGGATTTTCTAACCCTCTGTGTAAACTGCCTAGCATAGGGTCTGGCCCGTAGGGCGAGGGCTCAGAAGGTGGTAGCTGTTACTTTATCTTGAAGATGCTGGGGCAGTTTTAAGCAGAGGAATGATATGTTCAGATTTGTGTTTCAAAAGATGATTCTGGCAACGGTGAAACATGTGGGATTGGGAGGGGCCGAGCGTGGTGGTTTGAGGGCCGGCGCAGAGATCTCAGTGAGAGGCAACGAGGCAGAGTCATTGGTGTTGGGATCCCTGATCCGTGTGCTGCCTCCTGGGAATTCTTGTCAAGTCATGTTCCCGAAGAGTCGGGATAAGTGTGCAGTAGAGTTCATCAAGTACTTATTGAATTGAGAAAATCAACCAGTTTTCTGAGCTAGGACTAGAACTTCTGTCTGCACTGCATTGTTTTTCCTTCTTTTTGACCATTTAAAATGATTGTGTATCTTTATCAACAAACTGCTCTTTATTCATAACCTTGAGTTTGGTTTTGGGTTTTAAGGCAACAGTTATTTGCCTTACTAAAAATATGGTTTTTTTAGAGGGTTTTTTTTTTTTTAATTCAAAATTATTTATTTATTTATTTTTGTTCTGTTTTTCTCAAAATCTTTATTCACAAAAATATTCACACTGTGGTGGCTATTTCATTATTAATCCAAGTATCTGAATAAAACTAAAATAATACAGGTTTAAGATGATGATAATAATTGAAAAATGTTTATTTTTGGTAAGGATTATTTGTGAGCCCAAGGGTATATTTTTCATAAAACATTTTAAGTTCCACCACAAAGTTAACTGCATTCTGTTACAAATGAGTAGAACCAACATTTATTTATAGCTGAGTTTTTAAAATTTTCTTACTTTTACTTCTTATACCATAGTAATGCCTTCTTATTTAAATTGTTAAATGAATATAGTATTTTGTGTCCCGTTCTTAGGTTGGAAAATCACCAAAGGACAGGCTATGTCGAAGGGTAAGTGACTCTGTTCACCAGATGCCGAGCTGTCCGTCCTGCGCCTTACGTAGCACCGTATTCACCGCAGGGCTGGATTTGGTCTTTTCCCATTCTGATGGCCTCTCAGGGAATGAGAAACGTGGGAAGATAATACGATGTTAAGGAAACTGGCCATGAATTGTGGCCACTTTTAATTTACCTCTCTAGGTTGTCAGATACCTTCCAACTAGAAATTTATTAACATCAACACCCAGTGTCCTATGGAAGCAGATTCATGAGGGAATTTTAGCTACTTTCTGTAATAACCATCGCACAAACGGTCTTCAGTACGATTCCAGCCCACGGCTTCTGGGCTTCTGTTTGAGGCCGGTGAGGAGGAGTGCTAACTTCTGCTCAGAACTTCGAAATACTCTTACTACAGACACCTTGGGCAATCCCGGGACACGTGAATCCAGCCGTGCTAGGCCCATAGTCCGGACAACCCCACCGGGGGAAAGTTCTGCTGTGCTCCTGAGAGTGGCTGGGACTGTTATGTGTGTATACACACACACACACACACACACACACACACACACACACACAGAGTGAATAATGCAAGGATGAATTACTTAGGATGTGAGGGATTTATTGGTTGTGGGTTTCAAAAAGCTGGTGAGGGCCAACGGGAGCGACCTGTCGCCCACAGCCCGAGTGTGGTATTTAGTTCCCGCGCTTGGGGATGCTGGCTTTGTTCAGAAGGTTCAGCTCCGTCCCTGAAGGACGCTCTGCAGCCAGAGCGGGCTGTTTTCTGAGGACTTCTCCTCAGCTTGGCTGCTGTGTGGCGTCTCAGCACGTACCCTGACCCCTGACCGCCTGTCTGGCGCCTTAGCGAGCTGGTCCTCAGGCAGCGGAGCCATGACCTGTGGCAACCAGTGGTGCCGCGTCTTCACAGCACACGGGGAACACCGGCTTGTGGAAAGTCTGTGTGGGTACTGTCTTTTGGAAAGCCTGATTTTAAAATACAGTGAATCTCAAGAAAGAAAATGTGCCAATGCCTAGACTTTCAAATTCTTGTATGTCCAGTGCTGAGAGTCCTCTGCATAGGTGTGCTGCGCTGTGTTTGTGGTTTTTCTGGTGGGAACTGTGGCAGTTCTGCTGCAGGTGCTAATCGTGTTCCTTTTTACCGACAGGATGTGGGGATGAGTGACACAGCAATGACCTCCTTCCTTGGCTCCTGCTTGGATCTTCTTCAGACTTTAATGGAGGTAAAAGAGGTGCATTTTCCTTCTGAATTCTCTCTGAGATAGCAAATGTTTTTTAAATCGCTGAACTTAAAAAAGGACTCTAGGGGCACCTGGGTGGCTCAGTGGGTTAAGCCTCTGCCTTCGGCTCAGGTCATGATCCCAGTGTTCTGGGATCGAGCCCCGCATCAGGCTCTCTGCTCAGCAGGGAGCCTGCTTCCTCCTCTCTCTCTCTGCCTGCCTCTCTGCCTACTTGTGATCTCTGCCTGTCAAATAAATAAATAAAATCTTTAAAAAAAAAAAAAAAGACTCTAGATGCTGTGAAATGTGTAAGCCTGATGATTGACAGACCTGTACTCCTGGGGCAAATAATACATTATATGTTAATAAAAATATAAAAATTTTAAAAATTAAAAATAATTTTTAAAAAAGGCTCTAGAAAGAGGTTTTTTTCCTTTCTTCATTTTTAAGTTTTGACATAAATCCCCCAAATCATGGTTTCTTACAAAGAATTAGATTTGATTTTTTGTTGTAATTTTGGGGTCTGGGGAGAAAAGGGGTTTGCACTTGCCCCCTTGTAAGTGCGTTAAGATATTTATTTGCAAGCTCTTATTTCTCCGATTCTGCCCGCGTTTCTCTGTTCTCCAAACACGCAGGCCGACGTCAGCCGGGACGAGATGCAGGCGCCTGTCCTGGACACAGAGGACGCGTGGCTCATGGTCGAGGGACCAATCTCCATCGTGGAGCTGGCGCTGGAGCAGAAGCACGTCCACTACCCGCTGGTGGAGCATCACTCCGTCCTCTGCTCCGTCCTCTACGCCGTCATGAGGTTTTCTCTGAAGACTGTGAAGCCGCTGTCACTCTTCGATAGTAAGGTGAGGATCTCGGAGGCCTTGAGAGCCGGCTCGGAGCCGAGGGCTTAGCAGGCGTGGGCAGGGCCATAGGGAGGACCGTCTTCCTAGGACGCGTGTGGGGTTACTCGCCGGGGGCTCCCTGCTCGCTGCCCTCCACCAGGATGCCTGTAATTCTGGCTTCCCTTGACTCTTCTGGGTCCAGAGTCTTGCCCTGTCAGCTGTCAGCCCTTCCCATTCTGCACATTTTCGGATAGACCCATTTTCTCCCTCGTGGGTGTCTCCAGGCCCGATCTGTCCCCTGAATTTGAAGCGTGTATTTCTTTCTTCTTTTTTTAAAGATTTATTTACTTGAGAGAGAGGAGAGCGAGCATGAGCACGAGTAGGAAGGGCAGAGGGAGACGTGAGAGAATGTTCAGGCAGACTGCTCTGACCACAGAACCTGACACAGGGCCCGATCTCACCACCCTGAGATCAGGACCTGAGCCAAAACCAAGAGTCAGACGCTCAACCGACTGAGCCACCCAGGCGCCCCTGAAGTGTGTATTTCTATCGACTGGCTCTCTTCGGATGGGCTGTGTGACTTCGGACGCCTCCTGTGTAACACACTTCCTCCCCCAGGCCCCTACCCTTGACCTAACCCCCAGTGGAGTCGGCGCTCACTTGTGTGCGGGCGCAGGTGGGGAACCTTGAACTTCTCTAGCTCGCTTCCCTTCAAGCCCCACCCGGACTGTAAGTCGTTCTCATCTATTCTTCCTTAAATCACATCTGTCCATTCCTCTCCATCGCTAGACCCTAGTTTATTTATTTATTTTTTTTTTTAAGAAAAACCGAAATGAAGGGCCTAGCTCAGTCCTCCCCTCAAAAAGGGAGTTTGTGAAACGAGAGCACATCCGGAATTGGACAGGCGCGGCGGGGCCGTCCGTCGCAACCCATGCGGTGCTGCGGCGCCCGAGCCCGCCTGGGCCTGTCCTGCAGAAAGGCCGTGCGGTTCGGCTGGGAAGTCAGGAGCCTGCCCTGCCGTTCGCCAGCGCGGGTCTGGGGTGTCCCGAGCCTCCGCGGGCTCGTTCGCAAGTGCCGCGTCGGACCGACCTCACGGGCGCCGTGCGGGGAAGTGATGCGCTGCCCGCGAGGGGCTCCGCGGTGTGTGTCGCGTAGTAAGTACTAGACGGTGTCACGGGTGTGCGGACACGCCCCCTCCCCAGGCCCCGCTGTGCAGCAGACCCTCTGGTAACAGACCCCTGGGGGGAGGCTACAGAGTAACAGACTTGTAGGTGAGTATGTGCAGAGACTTTTTCTTTTTTTAAAGATTTTGTTTGTTTGAGACGGAGCAGGGGAGATTGGGCGGGGCGGAGGGTGGGGGGGATGCAGACCCCCGCTGAGCAGGGAGCCCGACGCAGGGCTCAAGCCCAGGACCCTGGGATCATGACCTGAGCGGAAGGCAGACGCCCAACTGACTGAGCCCCCCAGGCGTCCCCTGTGGAAAAACTCGCTGTCAGGGATGTCCAGTCTGCCCTCACGACGGGGTGAGGAGCTTCACCTGACTGGCGCTCACACCAGCTGACCTACAGCCCACGATGGCTGGTCTAGAAAGCCCATTAGAAAGACCACGATGGCTGGTCTAGAAAGCCCGGGGTGACTGCCGGGGAAAACCCGGCAGCGTGGGACAGTGGGGTCGTCCGTAAACCCGGACGGCCTGGGGGGAAGTGCTGGGCACAAGAGCCGGGGCCCCTCCAGCCTCCTGGGCCCGAGGCTCTTCGCTCTCTACTCCGTGTCCTTGCAAGAGCTTCTGCGGTTCTGCTTTGGCTCCACAGATACACATCTGTTCCTGTAAACGGTCTTTAAACAGTTGAACAAGTTGTTCTCAGGCGGGTGCGGAGTACACACTGGGTCTTAGTTATCTAGGACCGCATAACAAATTCCCTCAAAATTTAGTGGCTGAAAACATTTTATGGGTTGGGAGTTCGGGTCCTGCCTTACTCAGGTGCCTTTGGCGCAGAGTCTCTCGTGAGTCTGCAGTTCGGGTTTCGGCCAGGGCTGCCGTCCCATGGCAGCCCACACCGGGGAGGCACGGGGGTCCCCTTGGACGCTTACATGATCTCGGGGAGGCTGTTCTCGCCACACGCACTTCCCCGAAACGCAGGTCCCGCCCCGGCAGCTGGCTTCCCTCAGGGCCTGTGACAGAGCCTAGGAGCACCCAGGGCAGGAGCTGTGGTCCTTCTGTCCTCTCAAGGGAAGGGGGTGACGCAGGGCATGTGTACCAGGAGGAGGGGATCATGCCTCAAAGGCTGCCCAGCACATACTGGAGCGCTGCTGATGAAGTTAAATGGGGGCGCCTGGGTGGCTCAGTGGGTTAAAGCCTCTGCCTTCAGCTCAGGTCATGATCTCAGGGTCCTGGGATCGAGCCCCGCATCGGGCTCTCTGCTCAGCAGGGAGCCTGCTTCCCTTCCTCTCTCTGCCTGCCTCTCTGCCTACTTGTGATCTCTGTCAAATAAATAAATAAAACCTTAAAAAAAAAAAGTTAAATGAATAAAATTCCAAGATGTTAACTATTCAAGGAGAAGAATCCATCGTGAGTTCCTGATTAGAGGACTGCCCTTTTGTCCTGCCCTTAATAATCCATACTTACAGGGTGCCTGGGTGGCTCAGTGGGTTAAAGCCTCTGCCTTCGGCTCAGGTCATGATCCCAGGGTCCTGGGATCGAGCCCCACATCTGGCTCTCTGCTCCACAGGGAGCCTGCTTCCCTTCCTCTCTCTCTGCCTGCCTCTCTGCCTACTTGTGATCTCTCTCTCTCTGTGTCAAATAAATAAATAAAATCTTTAAAAAAAATAATCCATACTTACCTGTTTTCTTGGTCTTTTCTTTCTCTTTAGGGGAAAAATGCATTCTTCAAAGACCTAACTTCGATTCAGTTATTACCTAGTGGGGAAATGGATCCAAATTTTATTTCTGTACGACAACAGGTAAATTATAGTTAATTGGATTTTATTTCTGTCTCTCAGAAGAAAATAGTAAATCAAAAATTTAGCTGGCCTTAAAGGATGACATTTATTATTGAAAGCTAATTTTCCTTTCAACTGTATTTTCCTTTTTGATAATTAATTTCAATGGAAAAGCCACCCTCATTGACAGGAAAGCCCATTACTGTGATTTAGACCTCTTTTAATGATGAGTAGTGACGGTGCTGTCCTTCTCCATTGGCAAGTTCTTACTGAAAGTCGTTAGCGCGGCCGTCCAGGCCCAGCACTCGGTCGCGAAAGACCGAGAGTCCTCAGAAGAGGCACCGACCACTCCTTTTGGGAAAGACCAAGACTGGCCAGTGCTAGCTGTGGATTTGGCTCATCACCTTCAAGTTAGTGAAGATGTGGTTCGAAGGCATTACGTGGGGGAGCTCTACAACTACGGAGCGGACCACTTGGGAGAAGAGGTAATGTCGCCTGTGAGTGTGAGGTGGGGGGGTCAAGCCACAAAAATTACAATTGGGAGTAGAGAGTCCGTAAAGTCTCCAATAAAGCTTTTTGTTTTTCCTTTTGTTAGGACTTCTAGGCACAGAAACAACAATGTTAAAATATAAAACTGTAATCAAATTCCTGTTTCTGGTCTGTGTTTAATAAACTCCTACAGTGCCAGGCCTATTCTATCCAGAGGGGCATCATGGTACCCAAAACAGACAGGATTCCCTCCTCATAGAATTGATGGTCTGCTGCTAGGAGCAGAAAAGCTTGCTGAATTTATTTTAATTTTAATTTTATTTATTTATTTATTTATTTGATCATGCAAGCAGGGGAAGGTAGATGGAGGGCAGAGGGAGAGGGAGAGAGAGAAACTTAAGCAGGCTCTGTGCCCAGCACAGAGCTCGATGCGGGGCTCGATCTCACAACCCTGAGATCCTGACCTGAGCCGAAATCGAGAGTCGGACGCCGCGGGCGCGCTCACTTTCGTACTGAGTGACAGACGCTGTGAAGAAAAACAGATTCCCATGAATAAACGGGAGCTACTACACTACAGTGGTTAGAGGGATAGGGGAACTGAGTCCCCAAGGATAAGATGCAGCCCGTCACACAGGAAACCAGGGCAGCAGTGCTTGAGGCTGGAATGATGAGAAGTACAAGGTCCAGGGCTGGAGGGCCAGAGTGTGGTCCCCACATAATAGGGAGTGAGCAGCGAGGAAGTCCGTGAGGAGGCGGGGAGGTGGGCGGGAGCCCGATCCCACGTCTCCTAGCATACGGTCATTCCTGCATTCAGAAGCCATTAGGTTTGAAGCAGTCATGATGTGATTTAATTCCCTTTGCCAGAAACAAAAAATGACTCTTAGAGTCCTGTTGAATTGAAAAACTAGGGGATAAGAAAAATTAGGTGGTGAGCAGAACTTTGAATTTTGAATGCTAAATTTGATTTGGACTTTTTTTTTGGTTGTACACGTGGCCACAGCTTAAAAACGAACCAGAATCTCTTCACTGGCAAAGCCTTTCCTAGACTGAGTACACGTGTCAGCTCTCACTCTGTATGCACTTGTCCATGCTCATGTCCTCAGGCCATTCTCCAGGTTCAGGACAAGGAGGTCCTTGCCTCGCAGCTGCTGGTGTTAACAGGGCAGAGACTGGCTCACGCGCTCCTCCACACCCAGATCAGAGAAGGAATGGAGCTACTGGCCAGACTTCCGCCCATGCTCTGCACTTGGCTGAGAGCCATGGTAAGTACGAGAGCCTGAGATCATCGGGTCACTGGTTGCTTTCTTACAGGCATATTTAATGACAGGTAAGGAGAACATTCAAATTAGGAGTTTAAGTTCGTTCTGAAGAATTCTTACTGGGAAATGACTATCCTGACAAATCTTTTATTTTTATTTTTTTTTTGAAGATTTTGTTTACTTATTTGACAGAGATCACAAGTAGGCAGAGAGGCAGGCAGAGAGAGGGGGAAGCAGGCTCCCCGCTGAGCAGAGAGCCCGATGTGGGGCTCGATTCCAGGACCCCGAGACCATGACCTGAGCCGAAGGCAGAGGCTTTAACCCACTGAGCCACCCAGGTGCCCCTATCCTGACAAATCTTAAGTGAGTAACAATTACTGTTGTGTATAACTGATCGGTTATTTTTGTGTCCCATTTGCAGAACCCCCAGGATCTTCAAAACACAGAAGTGCCAATTGCAACGACAGCTAAACTAGTAAATAAAGTCATTGAGCTTTTACCAGAAAACCATGGGCAGTACAGTTTAGCCTTACACCTCGTTGAAGCGATGGAAGCCATATCTCTTCCTTCTTTATGACACTTGCCTACTGAAAATGGTCCCAAATTGTGTGACTGGAACATGAATTAGTGCATGTAATTTTACATAGTAAGATCTGGAATTTTATGAAGGGAGTAGGTCTTTTTTCTTTTGTAAAATAAATATAAATACATACTACTTTTTAAAAGTGCAGTCCTGGCTAAATTCCACTCCTTTGGTTAATACTGAAGATAAAATATAACTGAATATCAACTATACCATATTACTAACACAGATGTTTTACTGTTTATTTCTAATTTAAGCACTTAAATAGCTTTATGGGTAAACTTTGCTATTTCAAATGGGTTATAATTTACAGATTATGTTCTTATTATCAGATTCTATATTTCGTACTCAAAATGTTAATTGTAATTAAATTTAAGTGTGTTCATGTATAGTCCCCCATCAGTAAAATTTGAGGAACACCCCACTGGCTTTTGTTGGCATGCTTAAATCCCGGAGCTCTGCACGAGGACAGGTTCTTTCCCCGAGGTTATGCTGCCACCACCGGAGGACGATGACCTTGCTTTGGAGGAGGAACGGGTTCGAGATCCTCATATTCATCAGAAGGGACACTGAACAACATTAGAACCCTTAACCTGTTGTCCTTGCCAAAACTGAGAATCTGAGACGCAAGCAACACAGCAAAATTAATTACGATGTAAGTTAAGATTTACTTTTTGCCAAGATTCAAAGTTGTATCCACATCAGGTCATTGTAAAAATGTATTATCTTGTAAAATTTATGTTTTAAAAAAAAGGGCAAAGATGCTAAAAAAATTAAGTCCAATTTATTTTTCCTACAAGTGTTTAGAAAGGTCTGCTTCTGGGATATGGTAACATTATCTATTCTTGGGAACAGTACAGAAAAGGCCTAGTGATATTACAGCTTTGCAAACCTACCTCACAGCTGGGTTGAGAGAATAAAATACAACTAATTTTGTACCCTAGAGTGCCTCGAGCAGTCCAAGTGCTGAATAATTATTTGTTGATTAAAACCAGGTTAACCAAAACTCTGTAAAAAGTGCTTTGGCTCTACAAATACCAAGTCTTTATTAGGGTAGATCTTTGGAATGTAGCCATAGAGTGCAATTACTGATCTCTGTCACGGATCACAATTGTTATTCGTAGTAACTCATTGTGATACGGAAGTGTGTTGTTTCACTTACACGTAGGAAGCCAGCGTTAGTAACTGTACAAAGTTGACAAGTATGCCCCTCGAGGTTATAAAGAAAAAAGTCTCACATTTGAGGATATCCCAGTGTAAATTCTTTTTAACTAAAAGATCACACCCAAAAAGGAACTAAAACTTAGTCTAAAGAAAGAACTAGTTCTAAAGAACTTTAGTTCTTGAAAGAACTAGTTCTAAAGAACTAAAACTGTCTAAAACTTACTAATTACTGTTTAATTTAAAAATCTTGAAAGATAAAGTTTAAAGATGTCTTGGATATTTGGGTGAGGGCCTCTAAGTCTGACCGAGGCTCACGCCGTGTACAGTAGCAGCACCGAAAAGGACCTTAGCTCGTCCAGCTTCTCCGCCTCTGCCGGGATCTCCGCTGGCCCATCCAGACACAGTCCTGAGTCCTTGTAAACCTATCGAGCTTTATCTAGTCACCTGTTACATGCATTCTAAAATATTTGTTCTTCCTGTAATTTTTCTAAATACTCTGAAAGTAGTTACGAATTTTGGAGGCTGGTCAAAGAAACTTTACATCGTCACTTTGATTCTGTTATCACTTTTGGGGGAAGGGGAGTACCTGATAAACGCGTTAGATAATAAAGCTGCTTAAACTTATTCTCGTAGGACACACAGATCTGGGGATTGTAGAGAATAGTAATAAGCTGAAATATGGTTCATGGGACCGTAACAGATCACTGAATTACAAATCTGTAATTACATTTGTAATCCTAAAGTTTACCATTCAAAGAATTTTAAAATTGAATGCTGAGTTATATGGTTAAGAAAACCAGTTAAGTATTCTGTGATTTCATCAAGGGCTTTTAAAATAAATTTGAGAGAAGAAAAGAAAATAAATACCTATGTAAACATTCTGTAACAACAAAGAGCCACAAATAAAGGAATTAGGGTGTATGTAGGATGGGTGATTTCTGAAACAAAGGTATGTTGCACTTTCTGATGGGAAGCCACTAACAGAGAACTCCCACCCCCCCACACACCTTTCTTTGTTAACATTAAACAGGCATCTGTACCTTGTTAAATTTCACTGTATAATGCTGAAGGAAGACAGAAGTGTTCAAATAATTGTAACTTCTACATTACAGGTTATGTTTAGATGTAGAACTAGAAGAGCCAGATAAGCGTAGGTGAACAGGAACATAGCACCGACCTTCTAAATGCTTCATACTTTTGCTAAAAAAAAAAAATAAGAAGTGGAGAGAGTTTTTCCTTTGTTATACATTATAAAACCTCATCTAAGGTCAAAGTAAGCACTGTTACATTTTTAAATTGCTTTTCTTTAAGTGGTTAATTGCAACTTAAAATCAAAGAAAACAGATTTAATTTTTAAGTTTACATGGAATATAATGTTCACTTACAAGTTGCTGTGGTTCATTCATTTATAAGAGACAAATCTTTTTAAAGTACTCCATAGCAACAGTGAAAGCCTTCCCTCACCCTGACAGGAATGAATTTGTTGGGCTTCTAAAAGTTAGAGTTCTGCTGAATAGAATTAGCTGTCCCTAGAAAGGTTTTAATCCAATACTGAATTGTTTATAAAATGCTGTCATCTATTGTAATGTACTATAAGTAGTGACATTCTGTACATACTTCTATTTTCTGTGTCCATTGTTGTGAACTTATGTATATTAGTGAAATAAATTTTCAGCTTTCATGTTGTTTCAACATTCGTAAATATCAGTATTAAGATTTTCTTTTCTCTCTTGTATGAGAGTAACAAGTTCGGTTTTCATTCTTCTTTTTTTCTGCTTTATCCTTTTTTTTTTAAGATTTTATTTATTTATTTGACAGAGATCACAAGTAGGCAGAGAGGCAGGCAGAGAGAGAGAGGGGGAAGCAGGCTCCCTGCCGAGCAGAGAGCCCGAGGCGGGGCCCGAGATCATGACCCGAGATCATGACCTGAGCCCAAGGCAGAGGCCTTAACCCACTGAGCTGCCCAGGCGCCCTGATTTTCTTTCTAATGCAAACAAGAAACCCAGCTGTTTTGAGGAGGCTGCCGCTCACTAGTAAGGCAGAATGACATCACTGTCCTAAGGGAAACGCACCTCTGCCATTCTCCTTCAGGACTGCGTTTTTTACTTGATTTTTACAACTTCACCAGTATCAGTAAATTTCCAGATGCCTTTATTTTTAGAGGTTACAGAACTTAAATATGGAGTCAAGAAGCTTTATAAAATATAAAACATTTTCTGGTCAGCCACATTTAAAGTCGAACACACCCAGTGCCTCTGTTCTGAACGAATCTGTTGCGGATCGATCGAGATCCGCCTGCATATCTGTATTTTCCCGCGAGTGTGAGTGTGTGTGTGTGTGTGTGTGTGTGTACACACACACATTCACACACACACATTATTTTTATCTGCTGCAGGAAAAACTTGTGATTCTGAACTTGACCCTTATCCTCCACCACTTCCTCTTCCACTCGTTACTTAAATCCAGGCTTGCTTCCTTCCCGTGGTAAACAGCGCCTCTGAACTCAGGGCCTGCGCTCTGGGGCGTCCTTGCTCAGGGAGTGGTCGACAGCAGGGGCGCTTACTTCCCACTGACAACGTCCGTGCATCGGGGGCAGAGTGCGTCCGGGGACTCGGCCGTGTACTTCCAACAACGAGGGCATTTTTCTTTGGTAGTGGGCGTGACAATTACTTTATAGGAAGACTCTTCACGAATATCACCACCTGTGAGAGAAAGATACAGGGAGACTGACAGGCTGTTCAACTTGTTTCTCTCTTCGCTGGGTGGTTTGCCAGCGTTCCTTTTTCAGCGCTTTCTCCCTGCCCTGGGAAAGCTGGTCAGCATGGCTTCATTTGCCACATTCCATAGACAGCTGTGACAGCGGACTCACACCCTGACCCCTGAAGACAGCTGGGGAACCGGAGACCCCGTGTGAGCTGGTAACTGATGTTCCCCAAGTCACGGGTTCTTTGTCTCCTCACACAGAGCAGGCCTTCTAGCTCTCCATCCAGGCAGTTATCACAAATTACACGGCCTCTCCAGCTTCACAGAATTTTATTTTTTTCAAGATTTTATTTATTTATTTGACAGATCACAAGTAGGCAGAGAGGCAGGCAGAGAGAGAGGAAGGGAAGCAGGCTCCCCGCTGAGCAGAGAGCCTGATGCGGGCCTCGATCCCAGGACCCTGGGACCATGACCTGAGCCGAAGGCAGAGGCTTAACCCACTGAGCCACCCAGGCGCCCCTACACAAGAATTTTAAGAGCCAAATTACAGTGACAACTGCAGTGTCCCCACTTAAACCTTGGTGTGGGGGCACCTGGGTGGCTCAGTCAGTGAAGCATCCCAACTCTTGATTTCGGCTCCGGGCAGGATCTCAGAGTCTGGGATCCACTGGAGCCTGCTTAGGGTTCTCAAGCTCTCCTCTCCCCCTCCCTCCACCTCACTCTCTCTTTCACCCCCTCTCCTAAAAAAAAAAGAAAATTCTTGTTATAAACAAAAACAAAAACTTCTCCACTATTAATACTCTCAGACTTCAGCCTATATATATACAGTGAAGAAAGTTACTTTCTAGCCATTATACAAAGAAAGTACATTAACATTTTGAAAAGCAAGCGAGAATCTTTACTACATGGTCAGTGCTTCCAGGCCTCCGACTTAAACTGATACCCATAAATGAGCCTCCTGCCTCCTGCTGGCACCTAAGAACCATGACGAACACAGGCAGCGTCACTATCCCCACAGGATCCACGTGTCATTCCCTGTTCACGTGACCGTGCCTCCACGCCACCACTGAGAACGAAGCAGGCTGACAAAAGTCCCCCACCGAGTTCCTGCCCACTGCGGGAATGAGTTCCATAAAACTTCTTCCTTAACCCTTCATGAAGATTAGCTAAATCTTTTAAAATAGGGTGTGCAAATAAGGAATTTGAGAGTCCACACTGGGGAGGGGCGGGGAAGGCAGGACCAGGATCCTGAGTGCCAAAGCAGAGGGACACAAAAGCCAACAGGAGTGAGGTTGACTAACGTCACCTACAATGACCACTGTTCACGGGAAGGGAGGGAAAGCATGCTCCTCTCCCGAGCCCCGTGTTCCCAAGATCATCAGGTAGGACACTTCCGAGATCTGGTTTAGAAACTCGGCCAGTTTCCATGAAAAGACACACTCTAAGAACACACCTTTAGAACACACCCAATCCCCCGCAAAGCTGATGGCTTGCGATCAGCACTCTGTTCCCCAGGCCTCGCCTGCTCTCTCCCCTCTTCCTTACCTTCTAAATTGATCAGGAATGTCCCTTTGCGCTCAATGACATCTGTCGTCGTTGATCGTGGCTCCTGAGACAGTAAAGTCGTCTGGGAAGCCATCATTAGTTCATTCAGCTGAGACGTGCTGGAAGTCTCCTCCGCTTGTAGCATCTGGGAGTAAGCAGGCGGAAGTTACTGTCTGAATGTTTACCGCACACTGAGGTTAGAATTAATGCTGCAAATTCTTGTGTTCACCGAGTGACCCTTTAGTGCCATTATCTCCTAAGCTAATACTATTAGATCTATTAGAATGAAAGTTCTTTTTTTAAAAATTTTAGAGTGCATGAGCTGGGGGAGGGGCAGAGGGAGAGAGAAACTCCTGCAGATTTCCTGATGAGCGGGGGCCTGACGTGAGGCTCAATCCCATGACCCTGAGATCACAACCCGAGCCAACGTCGAGTCGGCTGCTTAACCGACTGAGCCACCCAAGCACCCCTAGAATGAAAGGTTTTAATTAAAAATGTCCAGGCAATAGTATGTGCTCTGTAATACACTCTATGCCGGGCACTTCACTATGCCAGATGCTAAATGTCTGTTATTTCTAATTATCATGGTGTTCCTCATCCCATTTTCCAAACGAGGAAACCTGCTCTGAGGAGTTAACTACTCACGGTTCTCGAGCAGCGAGTGCTGGAGCTGCGCTTCCTGCCCAGGTCTGTGGGCCTCCGAGCCCGGACTGCTTTCTCCCTGTGTCCCGCTTCCCACATTACAGACGTGTTAAGATACGATCTGAACAGACCTGCTCTAGCCACACACACCAATGGTGCCAACGGACTAAAGCACAGAGCTGTTCCCAAGTACAATGAAGTGGAATGTCTGGTACACACTTCCACACTTCTCATGGTAACTCTGCTCTTCAAAATGAGTTGGTTGTTTTTTTAAGGAATGTGTGTATTACATCAAGGGGTGCCTGAGTGGCTTAGGTCAGGTAAGTGGCTGAGTCTTGATTTTAGCTCAGGTCAGGATCCTCAGGGGCCATGGGATCGAGCCCTGCATTGGGCTTTACGCTGAGTGTGGAGCCTGCTTGAGATTCTCTCTCTCCCCCTTGGCCCCTCTCCCTCTGCTTGCACATTCTCTCAAATAAAAATTTGTAAAAACTCAAGAAAAAAAAAACAGGAAAATTAATCTGGTTTTAACAAATTCACGTAACTGGTAAATCGCAGATCCAGGACCCGTCTGACGGCTATGTAGTGTCGTTGCTAAGAAAAGTACACTACTTTTTAAAATCCCGAAGAATTTTTTCCAATATAAATGACTGAAACAAGCTGTTATTTTTTTTTAAACTCATTACTCAGAATTAATGAAGTGAAAAGACACAGGACATGCAGGAGGAAAGCCCAGAACTACGCTGTGTAGCTGTAGCTAGGTCACAGTTTCAATGGTCTTCTTTGCTCATAAAATAAAGGAGTCAAGCCTCCCAACTACACATTTTTTTTTTAAAGATTATTTAGAGGGTGCACACAGGGGAGGGGCAGAGCGAGCAGGAGAGAGAGAGTCTCCTACTGTGCTGAGCACGATGCCGGGCTCCGTCCTGTGACGGAGAGCGTAACGGACCTGAGCCGAAATCAGGAGTCGAATGCTGAACAACGTGAGCCTCCCAGGGGCTTCCCAACGTAGAGATTTCAAAGTGCGAGTATCTTACTGAAATCATCTGCTGGCTGGTCAATAATCTACAGACTGCGAGCCTCAAATCTTAGTTACATTATGAAAAATTTAACCTGAGCTTACCAACCAAATGAGATGGTCATTTTTAGAGAACTATGATAGCGGTAAAAGTTTTAAAATACATTCATTGTCAATTCTCTTCTCCAGCATTAAAAGTAGAAAAACATCAGGACACCTGGGTGGCTCAGTCGGTTCAGTGTCTCCGTCTGCTCAGGTCACGATCCCAGGGTCTCGGGATCGAGTCCCATATAGGGTTCCTAGCTCAGCAGGGAGCCGCCTCCTCCCTCTGTCTGCCACTCCCCCTGCTCTCTCTCTGTCCCTCTGACAAAAAATTATTTAAAAAAAAAGACATTAAAAAAATTTTTTTTAATGAAGTAGAGAAAAATCTTGAGTCAGTATGTTAAGCCACAAGCCAATGTGGCCAATGAACCACTAACAATTGCAAGAAGAAAGTCTTGATGGTGCTTTTGGAAATAAAAATAGGACGAATGCTTTGAGATGACATAATTTGCTGCAGCAAATGAATTTTCTTCAAATCTCCTGAGAAAAAGATGGAAATCTTTTTTTTTAGATTTGTTTCGAACCTGGTCCAGGTAGACAAAATTCTCAGAAAACTAGACACTTAACACAAAACCCTCAATTTTTGTGTATTGTAATAACAATGTCGTCAGTTTCTGTCACTTACCTAATTAGCCCTGAGGATTTGCATTTCAAACATGACTCTGTTGCACCTT